CAATCTTGCTGTTTGTTCCATAGTTTTAGAATCAAAAGGTGGTTCAGTTATATCTGGTTTGTCATGATTGTTCTCCAATTAAACCATGGCTAAAGTGGCAACTGGGTTGCTCTCACCTTCATTAGTACGCTCAAAATATGGTTTTAACATATTAATATGACACACTCTATTTTGTTTACGCCAACCTGGTGTTTTTACAATATAATTCAAATCATTAATTTTACTCTCTATGGTATAAGGACCACCATATTTAGCCTGTAATGGATGTCCAGGGGCTGGCAAAAATACAAGTACCTTATCACCAGGCTCAAAAACTCTGTCCTTTGCATCTTTATCATACCATATTTTCATCTTATTCTGAACAGTTTTTAAGTTTTTCTGAGCAATTTGACAAGCAGTATACAATTTTTCTTTAAATCTAGATACATAGTCAAGATTCAAGTCAGTGTGTTCAGTAAGCCATTTTTCCTTAACCAATTTCAAAGGTCCCCTTACAGTATGACCAAACACTAACTCAAAGGGACTTAAACCAAAGGATTCTTGAAGAGACTCGCGGACCGCAAAAAGTAAAAAGTGAACACCATCATCCCAGTCTCTGTCAAATTGAAGAAAAAAGCTCTAATCATGTTCTTCAATGTTTGATGAAAACGTTCTAAGGTACCTTTAGATTCTGGATGATAAGCACTTGGCCTATACTGAGCAATTCCTAACTGGTAAACGACCTGCTGAAATAAACCTGACAAGAAATTTGAACCCTGGTCGGACTGTATAGACTTAGAAAGTCCTACTAACGTGAAAAGTTTGATAAGAGCTTTGACAATTGTTGGCGTCTTGATATTCCTTAACGGAATAGCCTCAGGAAAGCGAGTGGATGAACATATGACCGTCAATAAATACGCTTTTCCAGTCTTGGTCTTTGGTAAAGGTCCAACGCAGTCAATTATAGTACTCCACTGAAAGGTTCTTCAAAGGCTGGAATTGGCAGAAGTGGTGCTGGTGGTATTTTCTAGTTGGGATTACCAACAACCTGGCATATATGGCATGGTTTGCAGTATTCTATGACATCATTTCTTAGTCTGGGCCAGTAAAAATGCTGCAAGATCTTAAGGCAAGTCTTCCTTATACCTAAATGTCCAGCCAAGGGGGTGTCATGGGCAAGACCAATAATTTCTTGCCTATAGACTTTAGGCACAACCACTTGGTATACTACTCTCCTTTCCTCCTCTGGGGTAGCATCAGGGGGCCTCCACTTCCTCATTAAAATGCCGTCTTGATGATAATAGCATTCGGCCTCTTTGTCTGCTTCCTCCTGTGGTTGAGCCCTCTTGCGGAGCTGAAGAACCTCAGGGTCTTTATTTTGTTCTTCGACAAATTTCCTTCAGTCTAATGAATGGCTGTTCACGTCTGGCCATGGCATAATTACATTCTTGTTAGTACTAGGTGGTCTTCCTATGGCCTTCTCTGAGCTACCGGGACCTTCAATGTCGACAAGGAAAGTGTCAGAAAGGCCCATGTAATCAAACTGGTCTTCTTCCGTTTTGTTGTTTTCTTGCCATAGCCCTAGTAACAACACAAGCTGTTACAGTTCAGCATCATATTCCGGTGATTTAACATCCACAACCGGTTCACTGGTAACAATTGGTTCAGCAATAACTTTGTTTCTAGCTAGATCATTTCCTAGCAATAATGAAACACCCTCAACAGGGAGATTATGACGAACACCCACAACAACTGGTCCAGTTATCAAATCTGACTTCGGATAATTACGATGGAGGGGAACATCTATACAACCTAACTCCACACCTTGTAACAAAACGGAGGCACCAACAGAAGTCTCCTCGGACAAAGGCAACACATCTTCTAACGATAAAGTCTGAGAAGCTCCAGTGTCTCGTAAAATCTGAATAGGCTGAGGAGTAGTATTATCAACAATAGAAACAAACCCATCAGACATAAAGGGTTTATAATCCTCCATGTAATCACAAAAACTGGACTTACAAGCCTGACTCGCAGGACATTCCAACTTATTGGTAACTAACAAGGGGTGTCGTACAAGCACTGGTCTTGGGCCTATTATCTCTTTCATTCTTCTTCTGTAGTCTAAAACAATCAGCCATCAGGTGACCATTCTTCTTACAATAACCACAAGTCAGTGACTTCTTCTCAAAATCATCAAATTTTGGACTAGACATATTATAACTAGACTGACTCTTATTCTGTGCAACAGGCTTACTATCAGTATGCTCGGTACTTTGATTTTTGTAATTTCCACTCGAAGTATTAAAATTTGACCTTTGAAACTTCTTTTATGTGAAAGGGTATAATTATCGGAAATAACAGCTGCATCTTGTAATGTCTAAACAGTTTTGTCGTCATATGTGTTTTTAAGTCTAAATGAACGCACTGCTTGAACTCTTCTAATAACATCAATTGTCTTAAGTTATCAAAATTTTGATCTATTTTCCTTGAATTAAGCCATTTATTAAATAGAACTTCTTTTTCCCTAGCTAATTCAACATAGGTTTGTGAATCAAACTTTGAATAAGACCTAAATTTCCTTCTATATGCTTCTGGCACTAGCTCATAAGCTTTCAAAACTTCTTGTTTAACAGTGTCATAATCAGAACTTTTTTCTGATGAAAGTGCTAAGTAAATTTCAGCGGCCTTGCCCTCAAAAGCACTTTGCAGCCTTGTAGTCAAATAAATAAAGGCTTTGGTCAGTTTAAATTTTGAGCAATTTTCTCAAACTGTCAAAAAAATTTATCAACTGTTTTTTTCACAAAATTTGGGAACCAAACGTATATATTTTGCTGCATCAAAATAAAAATGTTCTGATTTTGACTCTACATTAGTGTTGCTTTCTACTTTGTTGACCATTTCAATTTTCATTTTCTTCATCTCTATAACCTTTCCCTCATTTCAAGTTCTGTCTGTCTTTCTTCTTTTTGTTTTTCCAATTGTTTTAATTTAACTTCGTTTTCCAATTGTTTTGATTTAAATCCATCTTCCTTTTCTAATTCAAGTTGTTTTAATTTAAGTTCATGTTATAATTCAAGCTGTTTTAATATGAAAGCATCAACATTTTCGACCTTGAGTTCAAGAGCCTCTTCACCAAAGATTTCTGAGCTAGTTTCTGAGTCAACTAAATTGTCTATTACCAAATTTTTAATAATTTGTTTTCTCATAGATCCTCTAAAATTGATTTTTAGATGTTTAGCCAGCAACACTAATTCCTCTTTCTTTAAGTTATCAAACCCTTCAAGGTCTGGCGTTTTCAAAAATTTACCGGCATCAAATGCCATTTTGTAGAATTTTGTTGGCTAATTATAATTCTATAAATACAGAAAATTTTAATCTGTTATTAACGTTGTCCCGGACGAGCCACCAATTTCTGTTGATATCACCTTTTAATTGTAGCCAACAAAAGACACAAATCAATAATAAGATTTAACAAGAGTTATAATACTGTACACAAGTTTACAAGAAGTATTACATAAAATAGAAATGTCAACTTAACTGTCAAAATGTATGCCCGATCTTTTGTCTTTTCTTTATCCGGAATTCTTCTCGGGAATCCAAACAGAATATTACGTCCAATAAGTCACAATCTAGTATGATGTTGTTCGTAAATGAGAGAACTTCTGAGAATATTGATGTATATGTCTGAAAGTTTAACTTTAGTGTCTGTATATACATGTATATATAGTTGTCACGAAAATTTCTAGAACACTGTAGAAGGGAAACTTCTAGAACAGTGTAAGAAGTTTAAATTACGCATCTTTTATTATGATCATTCTGGAATCGTTATGCAAGTCAAGTAGAAAGTTCTAATCATTCCATCAGTCTCTATGATTGTTCCAGTGATTTCTAAACTACACAGTTATACCTGTTATAAGGATATACAAAACAAATTAGGCCAACTAAATAAACATAATAGTTACAATATCATAACAATTAACTGGTTTTGCAGGCGAAACATTGGCATGAGCTGCCAGACCAAGAATTTATCTAGTTCTTGAATTAATTTAAAGATGATTGCTTACGTAGCTCATCTGGCAGCTCATTCCAAAGCTTAGCACCCACATACCTTAAAGATTGTAGGCCATATGCGGTTGTTCTCACATGTGGTAGGTCTGCTGTATACTGGTATCTAAAAGAGTAAGGGTTTTCCTTTAAGTGGATTAAATCATGGAGATAAACAGGACAATCTTTATTAATAATTTTGAAAACTTCAATAGCCAATGATCGCATTCTTCTAATTTTTAAAGATGGTAATTTTGATTTGCAGAATAGAACTTCATAACTTGCTGAATAGTCTTCATAAATAAATCTCAGTGCTCTCTCTTGAATTGGGCTCAATCTTTTTTGTATTAACCTCCCCACAAAAGTGCCAAACTAGTGGGCTGTAATTAAAGTTGGACATTATGAAAGAATAATAAATTGTTAACTTTCCAAGTTTAGTCAGGTGTTTTCAAATTCTTTTTAATACATTTATCTGTTTGGATGCTTTTTTACATATTATAGTGAGCATCAGTGGCGGATCCAGAAATTTTCATAAGTGGGGGCCCACTGACTGCCTAAGAGGGGCCCGCTCCGGTCATGCTTCAGTGATTCTCTATATAATCAACCAAATTTTTCCCAGAAAAGGGGGCGCCCGGGCCCCCTGCCCCCCCCTAAATCCGCCTCTGAGCATACAAAACACAGCATAGAAAAATAAAGACGGAACAACGCCAGACATATAATACAATATGTAACGCGAACCCCACCAAAAACCGGGGTAACGCTCGGTAACTCACTCCCTAATCAAATGGCAAAATCAAAAGCCCAAACACATCAGTCAAACGAATGAAAAACAACTGTCATATTCCCTACTTGGTACAGGCATTTCCTTATGTAGAAAATGTAGGAACGTGTCTACAGCCTATATAAAATATGGGGTCGGTGATTTTTGTAATTTCCCGCCAATAGTACTTGATAATGTATCCCGAAGGGTTCCGAAAATATACTATAAAGTTTGCGCATTACCAACCTCTGTCTTCCTGTTTATATTTTTCATTAAAAGAAGAACACTGAAATGGATACAGGCAAAGATTATATGTCCAGTGGTTCTGATCCTAAAAATGTTCAAGATTTAACAGCTTTTGTAAGTATTTTCTCATTAACAAGATCGATTTGTGTGGGTTACTGGTTAGGTAATTTTGCACATTAGATATAACTCACGAATTCATGTTTAAACTTGTGACAACTTTACGAGATATTTTTGCACACTTTTTCTGCAACAACATTCTGATAGTGTTTACGATTTCCTTTTCATCAATCATACGACTGAGATAACTATTGCCCAATGATTAGCAATGTAAATGTCTAGTCCAAATAATTATGTGGTCTTGGAAGGCTTCCTTACTCCTTAGCTTCATGTCCTTTGTCCAATTAACTTACATGTACATTTGTAAGCCAAACATAAAAATAGCATTTCATTTCAAGATCTGACAATTATTATAAGGCACTGGCTACGACTACGTTGAAAATGTAACAATAACAAAAAAGTTATTGTTATCATATGTTGGTCACTAATTGCCGGAATGCTAGTTTGGTAATTACAAATGTAACAATATTTGTGTTTACGATTACGTTGAGTTTACATTAGATTTATTAAATTTTAACCGACTTCAGATTTGTTGCTGAATTCTCCGATTTGCTTGATAATTATTGTTATTATTATTATTAATATTAGATTTCAACTAATTATATTGAAATAGTTTTTAAGCTTTAATTGTTTTAATGTTCTTCAAAATAATACTACAGTTTAGTAGTGCCGAAGGCGAAGAATATAGTTCAATGTATAGAAGAAAAGTGTTCATGCACTTCTGCTGCACACTTACCCTTATTACTATAATACTTTAAACAATGGACGGACATGACGGAGTTATTCCCACTACCTAATTTTCTTTGGGTAAAAAATTAAAAACTTTCGATGCGTTGAATCAAAACTAAATAAGTATTGTAAAACATTTCATGCCAGCATTATTGAGGCTTATGGATCTCTTTAGTATTATCATATTCACTTATATGTTTGCAGAAAAGGGGTCTGAATGGTGACATATTTAGCATTATGAAAATTTTAAACTAATTTTTTAAGAGACATTTTGACTGATATAACTTTCAAATCATTGCCTGACATGTATAACATCCACAACTGTCCAATTTGTTCAGCTTATGTTAAAAAAAAATTATTTGCGAACAGGATATTTTTTCTTTATAAAGAATAACAAATGTACATATACCTTTTTCACATCAATTCTTGCAACTTACATGTAACGTCACAGTAGTACCCAAATTGAACCCATTTAGCAAAAATAGCAGGGGAAATCTTACAAGTTTTCTTAGAGACTAAACAATTTATATTTTTATGATTTGTCATTATGCATGTCTTTCAAAAAGCTAAATATATTTAAATATACACAAATGTTCACAGTATTTGTCAGCAGATGAAGTATTCGCTGGAAAAGGTAAAATCTACGGAAACATCACCATGCGACGTCCACAAATGTCAACTTTTATTTAAAATGAACAATGACAATATGTTACAGGCATCCATTTCTTAAAAAAGGAATAGTAAGCATGGACTATTGTCAAATTGTTCTAAATATTTAATGTGGAGAAATAAAACAAAACATTAGTTACAGTGTATGGATGCAATTTGGGTACTCCTCATTACAGAATCATGGATCGTTTGGAGGTCAATTCAAACCCATTTTTCTTGATTCATTGATCCATTGATTCAATATGGATTCATAATTAAATTGGTGGATCTATATATAGCAAGTAAGGATACATCTACAAAATAAACACAGAATGGAAACTTTTGTCTCAATCATAAATAAACATACTACTAGGTGAAAAAACTGTCAAAATAGATGCAATTTGGGTACCCTCACATTATATTCTGGGCTTAACAGTGCTTTTCTTAAAATGTCCATAAAATATGTATGGTTTAGGTTAGGTAGAGTGGCAGGTCAAAACAATTGTAATTTTTTTTGGCTTTATGCTGAATTTAGAATATGACTCGTTTATGCTGTTTTGACATTCTGGTGACTCAATTGTGATTTGAATTTTGCATGCATTGCATTTGTATTTTGTCATACAACTTGTTTAATATACATGAACCCTTCAAAAGGTAAAATTAATGATGTTTACACTTGATAAAAAGTAAAAGATATCTTCCTGTGTCATAAAGGTTACATGTTGTACATGTATGTACATTGTGTCTTTTAAGAAATGATCACATGATTCAAAGTGTGTATTTTGATTCTTAATAGCTGAAGAATAAGGAATAATAACATCAGTTTCTTTTTACTATACAATTTGTAATGTTAAAGCCATTCTGGATTTCTATATTGAAAACAGGTAGTCATACCTAAAAAGGCACAAACTTATCTGTCCTCTGTAGATAATCCTGATTTCTAGAAAAAATTAAAACAACACTAGAAAAAATTGTTTTTAACCCCTGAAAACCTATAAATTCTTATTTCAAATTCCTGAAATGTAGTTAGAAATAATTAAATATTACAACTAACATCATCTGTGTGAAAAGGCTCTTCTGACTCATTTTTGTGCAAAAATGAATTTCGTTGTTCTTAAAAGAATTTGGTTTAATTGGAAACCATTTTAGGTTAAGTCGGGTTTTAAAGCTGAGCAGTGTTACTTCTTGAGAATTTGATCATGATGCAGCCAAGTTATTTCGCATTTCTTTTTTTGTGGTATAAATAATGAGGATCACTGTACAAAACAACAGGCAAAATTTATGTTTCTTCAATGCTGACAAATATCAAATAAATGCATGTAACTGACAGGAAACTGTGTACTCAAAGATAATAGATTTTCACAAATAAAATAAGTGGCAGAAAACGTGCATGAAGCCAAAATACAAAATGAAGGTGTGCAGACTATCATAAAAACTAAAGCAACACACATTTTACACAGCTATTCAGTATTGTAGTTAACCCTATTACTTTGTGCACATACATGTCATGCATGTACCCACTATTAACCACTCGGTTACAATACACTTATAGGATTGTTTGTACGAAACACTACGTATAAATATTCCATTTAAATGTAACATAAGTGGATTGTATGGAAGGATTATTGATCTTAAAAAGTCAAACAAAAATTCATTAAATTTTGAACTGAGAAATGAAAATAAAGCACCTTTTAACTTTTGTTTGACAATAGTAAACTTTTGTTGCGGCCATTTATTTCAGTTCACATAATACTCTGTAATACCACCATTTACTGTGTCAATAAGAGTCAACATGCAAAAGTTTATGTATCCAACTTAATTCAATGCTTTATGAGGGTCTGGGTTGAGTTAACAGAATAGAGAATACTAGACCAAAACTACAGAAAAATAGGCAAAAAATAACGATTAGTGAATAATGGGGGTGCTAAAACATTAAAAATACTAAGAGAATAACGGGCAAAATTTACAAAAGAACACTGTATGGAGAATAAAGAGCAAAATTTATAAAGAATACTGACTAGAGAAAAAGTGGCTTAAAGAATTAAAGGACCCCATCCAGATCCTCTTTCATAGATTTAATATAATAGAGAGTCACATTGAGAATCACAATCTTAACTCAGTGCATTGTATTTTAATGTAAATGCATATTTTTTGCAGAGTAAGCCAAAATTTACCACTAACATTCATGACTATTAATTATTCATATGAAACCAATGATGCATAAACATGTGTAATAAACAATTGATCAGTTCCAAACAATAAAGTCATTAACTTGCAAAATTATATTGATTTTAATATATAAATAAGAAATTGTAAACTATGTAATTAAATATTTTAATGTGAAAATGTAGACATTGTTCACAGTTCTTGTCATGGCATGTATTTAATAGATGAAAACTGAGATATCAGATTTAGATTTAATCTACTTGTTGAAAGTGTGTTTTTTAAAAAGGTTTCACAAGTCTAAAATTTGACAGGTCAATTAGGTATTGATAAGTTTATTGATTATAGAAACAGAATTCTTGCACCAGATCAAGGATATATAACTAACATCTTATACATGTCTTTGACTAGATATTTCATTTTTGAAAATTTTTAAAGTAATAATTGATTTTGTTATTTTGTAAAATTATGGGTACAAGTTGGTGATTTATTTATTGGCTGTATAACTAGGGAAAACAGAAGAATTGATTTATGCTTTAATCTGATGTAAAACAGTAGTAAATTTCATATCATTTTAATTGCTATAGCCTGTAAGCTTCATGATTTGTCAAATTGAGTACACAAGTATCAATAAAGGTCTGGAATAATTATCCCAGACATTTGCTTAACTTTAGAATATAGATATAATGCATGAATTGAGTAAACAGAAAGAAACAAGTAGAAAATTATGAACTTACTTGGTGAGAGGAGGGTCAAATTCTAAAGGACATGTACATAAAAGAGACATTGTAAAAGTATTTAAGCAGGAATTAGGACACACAATTAAAGAAGGTACACCAACATACAAAAATAAGGGTTGGGTATAGGTAGTGTCAAGTCTCACCAAAAGTTGATATGATATCAGATGTAATGGATATGTACAAATGTAGGTTTTTTCAACATGTTCAATGGGACATGTCATTGAATCATGTAAATTTCACTCTACATTAAATCTTGATTTGAGTTACTGCATTTGTTAGGAATCCAGAATAGTACTGGTTTGCTGAAGTATAAATTAAACTATCACGGTTATCTATTCATTTAGTATTTAGAAGCTTATCACCATTTTACAACTAAAATTAATGTTTGTCAATCAGACAAAATTTCAATGTTAAGCCTCCCCATATTCATTAACTTGGCAGTCCTCACTGCGCAACTGCATGTACAAATTAACAGGGTAAATGATAGAAACTGTGGGAATAAATAATGTCTTACTCTCCAGGGGATTATACAAAACTACACTATGAATAAAAGAGACATATAAAATTAAGTGAGACAGCTTTAACTCAACAATACAAGTTAACCAAAATAAAATTTATTTAGATCTATTTTGGTTGATGATGGCTGCCTGCTAATTGTAATCATGAATTTTGTATATTTCAGGTACAAAATCTTCTACAACAGATGCAAGACAAATTCCAGGGAATGTCAGACCAGATCATTAATAGAAATATCCTTTTTAATAGTTTACCCCATTCAAGATGGTCTTTAAAATTTTGTTGAAATCTCGAACTTTGACCACAAATTGGTAGGAGGAATCTTTCATGAACAAGATGAAAGGCCAATTCACCACAAACACCTTTTCTTTTGAATATAATTTTTTTGGCAAATTTATAGCAAATGTTTGCTATCCTCAACTAATATATAGTCTGAAACCATGGAAGAATTATATTCATTTTTACTTCCATGCTGAAACTAAGACCAGTGACATACATGACATAAAGGAGGGTCTTGATGGGGATCCTTCATTTCTGTATTCTTTAATGTTTTAGCTAATTTTTCTCTGTTCTTTTTATTTTTGGCCCATTATTCTCTATTCTTTATTATATTTCAGCTCCCTAGTATTCTCTTTTCTGTTTTTTTTTTGCCCTATTTTAATCTTTTTAATTTTTTTGGCTGTTTATTCTGCCTTTTTTTATCATTATTCTCTATTCTGTAAACCCCATCCAGACCCTCATAAGGTACATGAACATCAACTGAATTTTACTATATTCTTTTTAAAGTGCAACAATATGTAAGTTATTAAATTTGATAAAATTTTTCAATATTCATCAATTTGATAAAACTAAGTAAGTTTCATGACAAGACATATCCTAACATTGTTTGTGTTGACTATAAATCAATAATATTTAATATCAGGTGTGAAAGACCATTTATGGTCTGTTAATAACTTCTTAATAGATAAGAGATTTAACAACATTAAATACATTTATCATCTATCAATGATTCTTAATGTCAATCAAAACCGATAAACTGTGATAGACAACAACTCACAAAAGTTTTCAATTCCTCCAAGGTTTAAGCTATTATTATTGCAGTACATTACTAAATTCTTTAACAAGTAGTTTATAATTCCTATGACTTAATGTTCAAAACATTAAACTGATCAAGGAGGAATATAAATTGAGTTTTCCAATATACATGGAAATCCAATCCAGATTATTATGAGATAAAACAGGGAATCAATCAACTTCTGTTTCGGGTCAATGGTAGACCAAATTAAGCTTTAGTGAAGGAAAACTTTCTAGGGTTAATGTCTTACTACTTTGCTGATGAAAGCTTCGTTCTGTGATGTTAGTCATAAATATTCATCATTTGAAGACTGAAAACTTTCACTTATCAATCTCTCTTTGAACCAGGAACCCAATTCTTCGATTGCTGTCTGACTTCATGAAAAAGTTTTATTATTTAAACAATTACAATATACATTGTACATTAACTTATAATGAGGGACAAATATGGAGGGTTTCATTGGTTGTTACAATGGCCAAAAAGTTAACCATTACAATTATTTCTCTATTGAAATGTACATTTGTTGTATCATTCTGCACAAACAAGAAATTCTGGATTCATGTCTTCATTACTTTGAACATGGTCATATAATTTATCAGGCTTAATTGAGAGAAAAATATTTGTTTACATGTATTCAATTTATTAAACTATTTCTGTATTGAGATAATTTCCTTAACCATGCTTACTAGACGATATGGGAAGTCGGATAGATGACCTTGAAAAGAACATTGCTGATCTGATGACACAGGCAGGAGTTGATGATGGACGGGCATAACATTCCTTAGACCTCAGATGACGCATCTTGTGTGCCTTTTCGTGTCACAGTCATTATAAAATTAATTTAAAAAATCGCAGCTCATATTTTTCACAAATTTTATGACGGCTTCTTTGTGTGTTTTTTGTCTTGCCTCTGTAGATAGTGTACTATTTATTAGGTCGTCAGTGTTTTGTTGGACCAAGTTTTAAAGACTTTTTAGATGTGATGAATTTAGGACTATGCATATATCGAACAAAAAAGACAAAAGTATTACACATTCATGTATTTTAATATTTATTGGGTGTAAGAAGTTTTATTTTTTGAAACATTATATGTGATTGTGATTTTCTTTGTTAATCAAAGTTGTAAAAACACTGAAATAAATGTGATATTTGTAGAAAACATAGTTAGTTTTTTCCTTCCTTGTTTTGATGAAGGCAATCTAAGCCACTTGTTCATTAGATTTTCCAGTTTTGTTCTGTTTTTCTTTGCCATCACAAGCCATATCAAGTTTGCCCTTTTGGAATCTGAAGCATTTTGGGTAATGTTTTAAAAAGCATACACCAAAACGTTATGATTGGTTGAAAAGTCTTAAACAATGAAAATTCAACCAATGAAGTGATGTTGATTTCATTTTGGGTACAAACAATGATGATATTGCCCATAGTCCTTAAGATTCTAAAATGGAGAATTTTACACATTTCACATGCATATTCACATTGATCACAAAGTACATAAGTGTGAACTGTCAGAAATTCAAGCAGGAATTTTAAGTTTCTCTAAAGCTATTACATTTTAATTTTTTAACAGTACAAGCCTTTTGCAAATGACTGCCTCAGTGGTCTTGTAGTAGATTGTGAGCTTCTCCTCTAATCAGGCAGCATTAAGGGATAAGAGCAAAGACTGGTCGGTTTGGAGACAAAATAATGTTACCGGGTATGGTGACATGTCTTCCTGCAGACTGTAACCTTGTGAACTAGCTCGTTAAAAATCAGGCTCAGTGTGTCGGTCTAGTTGTCCCAAATATGCATTTGATAGGCACATGCTGTTAAAACAGCCATTCATCCATCCTTTTGCCTACATTAAGTATACATGTATCTTTATAAAAAATGTTGTTGATATAATGTAGGGGAGATAATTGAGTTGACTTGCTTCAATAAACTATTGATATTAGTGGGCAGAAGAATCCTTTTGTGAGTTCACTCACAGTTCATGAGATATTGAAGCAAATCTAAATCTTCAAAACATAACTACAGCATGAACCTAGATCATACTTGTTGGGTTGCTGTCTCTATGAAATTTACCCAGTATCTCTGTCATTGACACCAAGATCATGTTGGAATGGAAAGCTGACAGTTCATACACTACCAAGAACTTACATTGTTCTTGCACTTTTCTACCCTCTTGTAAATCAGTAATGAACGGCTACATGATAAAATTGTAATGTTGTACTTTTGGTAAATTCAGTACTGATTTTAAGCTCACTGGGCCCTTTTCTAATCACTTGGCGTCCGTCATAACTTTTACAAAAATCTTCTTCTTTGAAAATACTGATCCAAACCAAACTTGGCTACAATCATCATTAGGGTATCTAGTTTAAAAAATGTGTCAGATGACCCGCCTACCAACCAAGATGGCCGACATGGCTAAAAAAAGAATGTAGGGGTAAAATGTAAGTTTGGTCTATTACATGTATCTCGAATACCACTAAAAATAGAGAAAATCTGACAAGGCAAAAATGTTTGCAATGATGAGATCTACCTCTTTTCCATTTACTTCCAAACTGTCAGACTACTTTTTATGGGTGTTATTGCCCTTAAATGACAAATTTTACCAACTTTTTAAATTTTTGCCTATTATCTTGAAAATTATAATAGATTGAAAGAAACTTTATATGGCAAAGATAAATTCTGCAAATAAGTCAACATGGTTGAAATCGTCTGATGACCACTTATTGGAGTTATTGCCCTTTAATGACGATTTTTAATAATCTTTTGCGTTTTTGCCTAATGTCTACGAAGTATAATAGATAGATAGAAACTTAAATTTGCAAATATGATCAGCAAGACACGATCTACAAATAAGTCAAATAGTTGAAATCATCTGACGACCTCTTATTGGAGTTATTTGCCCATTAATGATGGTTCTGACCAATTTTTTAGCGTTTTTGCCTTATATCTAAAAAAATATAATAGATCGATAGAAACTTAAATAAGGAAAAATGATCAGCAAGACTAGATCAACAAAGAAGAGATTTTTGTCATGAATTCTATTCTAGTCTACACAGATGGAGAGTATCCATTTTTGAAGATGCACATAGACCTAGGTGAGCAACACAGGCTCTTTAGAGCCTCTAGTTTAAGTACTGTGACCGTACTGATTTTTTCAATACTGAAACGGTATGTGTTTATACATTAAATTTCAAGAGTCAACAGCTTCATAGGGTTGGTCTTCCAAGTTTTCATACTCTAGCGTTTTTTTTTTACTTGTACAAGCTTTTAATAGAAGACATCAAATTCAACCTATGAGCTTCTTATTGTCATCTTGCACAACAATAGTGCGATATGTAAACTATGTAAGGAGTGTATGGGGCAAGTTTATAAAAATGTCTGGTTTGAAAAAATAAAGATCTAGTGAATGTTGCAACTTACCTTTTGTTCACATACCTTTCTCACCAGCATTGAATGAGCTTTATGGTGTATATTTACAAACTTACTTAAAATCTTTAAGACACTGGATGTTGGCAATCCATGAAAACACTATGTGTTATACAAGAGGATAAAAGTTATGAAAATTTTTCATTAATCACCATGGCTTCCTGAGGAATGAAGTGATGCAAAACAAAAATCCACTCAAGTGGAAAGATAGTTCATGATAGGTAAAAGTGGCTTTATGTATAACTTTACAATGAACAAAACAAAATACGTAATTCAGCAGAAATTGAAAACATGAACAATGAATAATAAAAGAACAGAGTTCCAATGTCCTATGCATTGCACATATTTTATCTGTCAAAGGGCAATAACTAAAATAAATTGCTTCGCCGAGCGCAGCTGGATACGACCGCAGAGGTCCAACCCTGAACAGTTGGGGCAAAAATGGACACAATATTCGCGCTGGATACAGGTCTGAATTGTAATTAAATATTTGACACATAATCGGTTTCTGACACAGAATAACTGTAGTCAAAGAACTTAGAATTGGTTACATGTATATGATTTGAATTTATATTCAATTTTTTTTTGCTTTTGTGCAATACATTTTGCTGTGCTGTTGCGTATTGACCCCCCCCCCCCCCCCCCCACTTTTTTTTGCAAAAAAAATAATATTTGAAGAATTTTTCTTTTATTTTCTGAAATCTGAAATGAGAAAAAATTGACCCCCTCCCAAATTTTTTTTCACCTCCCCCCTCCCTTTCTCCCCCCCCCCCCAAAAAAATTCTTTCCCTCAAGATTTGGTCATAATCTCAATTCAAATTTCCAATGGAGTTTGCAACCATAATTACCCATTTAAATACATCATAAAAGTCTTAAAATAGAAAATAACATACATAATCATGGCTTTAATTAATATTCCTTAATAGTTACTTCTAAAAATAAATTGACAGCTAATCATCTCAAAACAATACATCATTTCTTTTTATATAATTTAAAAGCAGTGTAAGGGAGGTAATCGAAACTTTGTGTTTGGATTACCTCCCTTACACTGCTTTTAAATTGTCTTAAGTAATTGTCCATTAACCAGGAAACCCTTTTTTGCCTCTAATTCCTAAACGGTAAGAGCCATAACCCCCCAAAGCAAATCCTAACCATCCCTCTGTGGTATGGAAACTTGTGGTATAATTTCAGAGAGATCCATACACCGTTCCACAAGTTATTGTCTGGAAACTAGAAAAATGTAATGTAGGATTGAAAAGCACTCACAATGCAATTTTCCATATAATTTGTATTTCCATGGCTCATAACTATTTTAGAAACAGCTGATCAGCAATGATTATTGAACTAGTCTGAGACATTGCTGATATAAAGCTTTGATATAAGTTTGGTAAAAATCTGGCAAGAATTGCACACATGAGGGCATTTACAACTCAATTTTCAAAATAATAAATATTTAAAAGAGCATAAATCTTCTTTTTTTTTAATGTTGATCGCCACTGAATTCCATCTTGACCAAGATGTTGCTGCTATAAACCTCTGATTAAAGTTTCAATAAAATCTGATAAGAATTGTACATGCATGTGTGAGTGCTTGCAAAGCAATTTTCCAAGCGGCAAAACACTTTTGAAAATAGTTGATCTGCACTGATTTTCAAACTTGTCCAAGACATTGCTGATAAACAACAAGTTTGATAAAAATCTGGCAAGAATTGTACAGATGAGATCGATTACAAGATCAGACTGATGCCAATATTTTTATGTCCCCTGCAAGGCCTCATGCTGAGGATAAAAATATAGGATTGCAGTGGTCAATTATTGGTACATTTCAAGGTGATTCTGACTTGACTGAAGAATACAGATCCACAAATAAATTACGAATTTTTAGGGGTTGACCAACTTTCTCTGATAAGACTGGAGCTCAAATATCCCTCCCCCCCCCCCCCCCCCCCCAAAAAAAAAAAAACAACAGGTTTAATCAAAAGTTTCATGAAGGACCTCAGATCGGGAACCTAGAGCTACCACAATTCTGTTTGAAAATATCAGGTGGGAAATTTTATAAAGTATCAAAAAAATAACCAGACGTGTCAGGCATATAAACTCGTCCAAACAGGAAATTAGTAGACCATGTGCACTTAACGCTTATAGCTTAAATTTTAAATTAAACAAGAATGTGTCCATAGTACACGGATGCCCCACTTGCACTATCATTTTCTATGTTCAGTGGACCGTGAAATTGGGGTCAAAACTCTAATTTGGCATTAAAATTAGAAAGATCATATCATAGGGAACATGTGTACTAAGTTTCAAGTTGATTGGACTTCAGTTTCATCAAAAACTACCTTTACCAAAAACTTTAACCTGAAGCAGGACAGACGGACAAAAGAGCGCACAGACTGAAAAACATAATGCCTCTCTACTATCGTAGGTGGGGGCATAAAAAAATGACAAAAGTACTATGGCTGCATAAGCCAAGTGGCAGGCTTTTTAAATATGTAGGAGAAACCTTTTTTTCATGGTCAGCATTTTTTATGATGATGATGGACGGTGAAGTCTGCTGACAATTTGTCAAATGAATGAGAGCCAAAAATTTGACCGTATTTCAGACTAGCTGCTTCTGCAACCATTATCAAATGACGTAGAAAAATAATAAATACATGATCCACAAAACTCAGATTGGTAAAGATCTAATTAATGGCTCAAACTATAGTCTAAAATAAATTTATCCCAAAGTTTCAGTCTGTTTCTAGGTACTGTTAATAGGGGTCTTTCTTCGTCCCATTGGGCATTATCAAGCTCAAATTTTGACCAATTTCAGTCAATTATATGCTGGTATGAATTTGACCTTTGACGAAGCTTCCTTGAAATCAATATGGGTCTTCCTCATCTAATCAAGCAATAAAAATATATGTATGGTTAAAAAGACACATCTGGAAACAAAGAAATGCCTAAATTTCAATCAATCAATAGCTGCTGCTTTCTTGACCAATTGACCCCAAAATCTATAGATTTCATCTATAAAACCATAGGGCATTACCAAACCAGTTTGGTAAAAGTTAGAGATGCTTCAAATGACATCCAGAAATTAGAATTTTGCCCAAATATCAGTCTTGCAATTGCAGCAGTGACCCAAAAACCAATAGGGGTCATGTTATACTAAAAAGAAATTTTCAAACTTACTGGTAATTTGGATGTATCGTTAAAAAATATCCAGAAACCAAAATATTGGTCAAGTTGCTGTCTGACTATTGTAGTTGTGACCTCAAATCTCAAATAAGAAGGGATCTTCTTCACCCAATGGGGCAAGTTTACTAAAGGTTGGTAATAAACTTTAAAAGATATCATCCAGAGACCAAATTTTTCTCCAATTTAAGTCTATCAATAACTGCTTGTTGCCTTGACCTTTTACCTAAAAATTTATAGAATTTTTTAATCCCATGGGGTATTATCAAACTAAGTTTGGTAAAGACATTATTTATTGGTAATCAAGGATGCACACACTGAAATGTCTCGCCAGATTTATACTTATCATGATTGAATCTATGTTGACAATCTGTAATATGAAGGTTTTATTACCAGTATCACATACTTTGACCAATTTCAGTCAATTATATGCTGGTATGAATTTGACCTTTGACGAAGCTTCCTTGAAATCAATATGGGTCTTCCTCATCTAATCAAGCAATAAAAATATATGTATGGTTAAAAAGACACATCTGGAAACAAAAAAATGCCTAAATTTCAATCAATCAATAGCTGCTGCTTTCTTGACCAATTGACCCCAAAATCTATAGATTTCATCTATAAAACCATAGGGCATTACCAAACCAGTTTGGTAAAAGTTAGAGATGCTTCAAATGACATCCAGAAATTAGAATTTTGCCCAAATATCAGTCTTGCAATTGCAGCAGTGACCCAAAAACCAATAGGGGTCATGTTATACTAAAAAGAAATTTTCAAACTAACTGATAATTTGGATGTATCGTTAAAAAATATCCAGAAACCAAAATATTGGTCAAGTTGCTGTCTGATTATTGTAGTTGTGACCTCAAATCTCAAATAAGTAGGGATCTTCTTCACCCAATGGGGCAAGTTTACTAAAGGTTGGTAATAAACTTTAAAAGATATCATCCAGAGACCAAATTTTTCTCCAATTTAAGTCTATCAATAACTGCTAGTTGCCTTGACCTTTTACCTAAAAATTTATAGAATTTTTTAATCCCATGGGGTATTATCAAACTAAGTTTGGTAAAGACATTATTTATTGGTAATCAAGGATGCACACACTGAAATGTCTCGCCAGATTTATACTTATCATGATTGAATCTATGTTGACAGTCTGTAATATGAAGGTTTTATTACCAGTATCACATACACTTTAATATAAACATTGCCAATAATCCTTGAATATGAGGTCAATGTCAGATGAACTATGCCAGATAGACAAGTACACTTTACAATCATTCAAAACACCAAATATAATTCCACTATTGCTTATAGTATCTGAGAAATAGACAAACAACAAAAACTAATCTTTGTCAAATGAACCTTGAAAAAGAGTTCAAGGTCAGATGGGACCTGTCAGTCTATCATGTACTCCTTACAATCATTCCATAAACCAAATATAGTTGACCTATTGCTTATAGTATCTAAGATACAGACTTGACCACAAAAACTTAACCTTAAACACTGATCCATAAATTGAGGTCGAGGTCAAGTGAACCCTGTCTGACGGACATGTAGACCTTGCAAAAAACCCATATACCAAATAAAGTTATCCTATTACTCATAATAAGAGAGAAATTTACTTGACCTTAAAAACAATAATTTGTTTTCAAGCAGTCGCTGAATCGTGAAAATGAAGTCAAGGACAATGGACTTATTACTGACTAAAAACAACATAACATAAGGTATCTGCATACAAGGTATGAAGCATCCAGGTCTTCTACCCACTGAAATATAAATAGTTTAAGCATAAGCCACCAGATTGTCATCCTTATGTCGCGCATTATGCGACTTCCTTCCCAGGCGAGACAAAAATCATTCTACAGAAATGGATAGGTTGAATATGTTGACCTGCTAAAGCTAAGATGGCACTCATCATTTTATAAGCCAAGATAGACTACATTGTAGCTTGCTTTAGTACCACAATTGTTGTGACTAGGTTAACTGGTTGAAATATCTTGAATAATTTCCTGAACCACTTTTGCACAGAAGCTTGCAATTAATAAAACTAAACTATTATAACTGCTTTTAATGTCTGTTGTTACAAAATATCCTGTAGTAGCTGAACATGAAATTTGTTTGTGTCTTTTTCTATCACAGATGAGCAATGAACTAGATCCCACTTGTCAAGTTGTTATCTCTACAGTGAATATTTCCCTTTAGGCAAACTCCTCAATCTGAAAATAAAAGTAAACTCATCAAATTGTACCAATGTTTAAAATTCTATCCCTGTTTGAAAAAAATCAAATAATTTCTTGCAAGTCAGTTTGTTTTTCGACTTATGAATTTGAATGTCCCTTTGGTATCTTTTGCCTCTCTTTTGGAGACAACCATCTTTGCTTGCCAATGATTACGATCTGATCCCCTCCTCTTCACCCTTGACAGATTAAGTCAGTATCTGTGCATACAGCGTAGTGCCATCTAGCAACGGATAGAAGTCATGCCCACTCCGACTATATCATAATTGACCAATGACAGCACTTGTGCTCTTTATTTCCGAGGTGTAAAAAATGACTGTATCCAGTGTTTACAAATTTCGTAAAGCAGAAACAGCATATATAAGTTGATATTCCAATATCTACATGAGGCACATATCCAAAACCTTCAATTTGTTAAGAACTTCAAACGTGTCACTAAATATAGCCTTATGTCTTGGGAGTAAAGACGCGTTGCACAATCTGCAAATTGTTTATTTACATTTTCTATATTTACACATGACTATCATAAAGGCCTTTTTGATTGGATGTAGCTAGTTACAACTGCATCCAATGGAAATCAATACCTAATGGATCACAAATTCTGACTTAATCTGCCAAGTTTCTTCTGTCCCCTATGTTCAAAAGTTAAACTTAAAATGGTTTATTTTAAATAATAATGTCAATCTTTTTAGTGATGAATATTTGATGAACTTAGAACTGATTTTTCTCAAGACAACTTAAGACATAGACTTCATGGTTTGTACTCTTTAATTCGTTTGTGAGTGTAATCTTATTACCTTTGAAGTATTCTCCTTCCTGAAGTACAGTTTTGTTTTAAAAATTACATTATGTATTATGTTGATTACCAAGAAGAAAAACAAGATTATTGAAATATTATCTCCCTTGCTTTTCTCTTTATAAAAAAAAAAAATGAGATTTTCAAAATTTGTTTGTTTTTTTGATTATTTTATTCATTGGACAATAAACTGGAAAAAAATGATACAGTTGAAAAAGTTAAAAGATGTTATCAGATAGGTTGGAGTGAAATTTTGGATGTGCTGCCATACTTTGACCTATAATGGTTTACTTTTACAAATTGTGATTTGGATGGAGAGTTTTCGCATAAGCACTAATACCACATCTTCTTATATCTATGTACAACCTAAGAAGCCTTTTTTTAGAGAAGATGTTAAATAATATAACAAATGAATACTGCCAATTTTTTATTATAATATTATTTAACATTTTAAGGTAATTTATCATCTTTTCCTAAAAGCATAGCATAAGCTAGAATAAAATAAAAAATAATAAAATGCTCCGCAAGGTGCAGCTTGATACGACTGCCGAGGTTGAACCCTGAACAGTTGGGGCAAGTATGAACACAACATTCAAGCTTAATACAGATCAGAATTTGGATTGTGATTAATTATTTGACTTAGCATAGGTTTTTGACGCAGAATGAATGTCGTCTAAGAACTTTTAAAATTTGAAATTGGACATTTACCTATTATGGTCCAATATACAAAATCTAAATACAAGGTTAGATTCAGCATATGATAGAAACCCAAGTATTCAATTTTTGTTGAATTCATACAAACTTTAAATTTGGACCATTTGGACCTCAATGTGGACCATTTTGATAATGGGGCACAAAATCCAAAATCTAAATACACAGTTAAATTCAGCATATCAAAGAACCCCATAAATGAAATTTTTGTTGTAATCAAACAAATTTTAATTTTGGACCCCAATTGGAACAACTTGAAAACTGGGACCAAAATCAAAAATCTAACACAGTTAGATTCAGCATATAAAACAACTCCAAGAAAATCAGACTTTGAATTAAACCACTATTGAAATTGTTTAAGAAATAAGCAATTTATACAAAGTATTAGAAAAGAATTGTTTTGGCCCTAAATTCTAAACGGTTAGGAACATAACCCCCAAAATCAATCCCAACCTTCCTTTTTTAGTATAGAATCTTGTGGTACAATTTCATAAAGATCCATACACTTATTCTCAGTTATTGTCTGGAAACCAAATGTGTTCGGAAAACAATGTCGACAATGTTGCTGAAGACAACGTCACCATACCATTATACGGCCACATAAATTTTGCAGTCATTTAAAAAATGACAGCCATTCACATTACAATACAAATGGTTGATTCCTTACTTGTGTAATAATTCCTTATCTGTAGGTAGATCTTCTTCACAGCTGCTCTCCTCTGTATCATCACTGTCAGAATATCTCTTTTTCTTTTTTTTATCTTTCTTCTTGTGTTTTGACTTTTTACTTTTAGACTATAAATAAACATACAGTAATTGGAGATGGTATTTTCTATACATAACACATGTATAAATAAAATAACAATATCCCCAAAGAAAATTATTTAAATACTATCTGTGAGTTCACAGAAAGAGTGGAGAGGTTGGAATGCATCATAGGTTCTCAGATTTATACTTACAGATTGGAAAACATTTGCAAAATGGTTTCAGAGAAGATATAGTTGAAAGTAATTTCCCATAAAAAAAATAAGTAAAACTATGGGAAAAAATAAGTAAAACCAAGATGTTTTTTGGCAGTAAGTCATTTATGTATATTAACGTCATACAATGAAAAATTCAAAAAGTAATCATCATGATTAGCCATAGGACAAATTCATCAACAATTGGTTTAAACATGGTCTGTAAATTATCAATATTGATTTTCTTCCCTCCATTTCTGTTTATAATTAATAACAATAGCCATGTTAGTTACATGTAGATGACAGGTACCACTCATCAAAATTTGAAACAGGACCATTCTATAATCATCTCACCAACATGGCTATGTATTTGCACTGAAAGTAACTGATATAGATATTTACGATTACTTTTAATATATAGTAATGGTACACATCTGGTCATACACGTTTCTGAATAGGAATGTCCAATGGATAATTTAGATCAAATTTGGTTCAAATATCATGTAATATGCCAAATTGTTTCAAATAACTTTTTTTTAAGTTTAGGAAGGAAGGAGAGCCTTGTTGTGATAACAGCCCCAGACAGTGACTTGTCCTTTGAGTCAAGTAAGCCAAAAAATTCTGATGTCAAGAAATGCATTTTAAATTACCTTTTTCTCTTTTTTATGTTTAGATTTGGATCGTTTATGCTTTCTGTGGTCATTTTTATCCCCTGTGTGTTTACTTCTATCAGGCAGTAGGGATGGGTCAACAAAATCTCCTGTACCATGCTTTCTTTGACCTGTTGGTGCTAAATAATCGGCACTGCTTACAAAACTGGTAGATACAGGAATACTGGTAGACGCAGCTGAAATATAACATTAAATTCCTTGAATTTTATGAAACAGGACTTTGATTCATAACTTGTGTATATTTTTCATTTATTTGTTCACTAATTTTCATGCAACTAATGTCAGTTCAATTTGAATATTACCTTAAACTTCAACATTTGTCAGGTGTTGGAATAAATATTCCATCTAGCATGTCTAGTAAAAACAACTTGTCCAGAAGTCTTTACTAACATTTTTTAACAGTACATACCAATGTTGCTGTATATCATATTTGGTTTTCATTTATTGTTTTGTACATCAATAAGGTTGTTAGTTTTTGTGTGTGAATTGTTTTACATTTGTCATTTTGGAGCCTTCTATAGCATGCTATGCGGTATGGGTTTTGCTCATTGCTGAGTGACCTATAGTTGTTAGCTTCTACATCATTTGGTCTGCTAGAGAGTTGTGCCTTTGGAAATCTTACATCTTCTTATTTTTATACAAAATATTAAAATATTAAAACATTTGAGTTCTGGTTTCAACATTTAGAACAGGGACTAAACTTAACTGTTTTCCTCCAGGGGCCAGCTGGGCCCCTATAATATTTTTTTCAGGGGCCCAGTTGAAATTTTAGGGGCCCAACCAATTTTTATACTTAATAAAATAAAACTGAAATGTACTTTCCATATACTAATATAATAAAGCCTTATTATAATTAATTTGTACTTGATCTGAGTTTTGTGGTAATAAGCATTGTTTATAAGTTTCATAACAATTAGTTGGGGCAAACTTAAGTTAGAGATCAGAAACGAAAAATTCAGCAATTTTTCCATTTGTAAAGATGCATAACTCTAGAATGGTAAAAGTGACACCACCAAAATTCGAACTTGATCTGTGTTTTGTGGTAATTAGCACTTTGCATAAGTTTCATTTCATTTGGTTGAGGCAAACTAAAGTTAGAGAATGGAAACAAAAATTCAGCAATTTTTCCGTTTGAAAAGGGGCATAACTTTAGAACAGTAAAAGTGACACCACCAAAATTCAAACTTGATCTGTGTTCTGTAGTAATAAGCATTGTGTATAAGTTTCATAACATTTGGTTGAAAGAAACTAAAGTTAGAGAACGGAAACGACAAATTCAGCAATTTTTCCAATTGTAAAGGGGCATAACTCTAGAACAGTAAAAGTGACACCACAAAAATTCAAACTTGATCTGTGTTTTGTTGTGATAAGCATTGTGTAGAAGTTTCATGACATTTGGTTGAGGCAAACTAAAGTTAGAGAACAGAAACCAATTTTGGGACGTACGGACGTACGTACAGACTGACAAGGGTAAAACTTAATGCCCCCTCCGCAACGGCGGGGGCATAAAAATCACTGAAAAAATACCCTGGGATTGATTGATTGGTGCTTGATATCCAGTGGCAAATATTACATGCATATACAGGACAATAACATGTTATTGTCAAATGAATGTACCTTGCTTTGTATAGTTCAAACACATTACATGCTCACAATGTCCATTAGATGATATGTAACTTTTCCTCAACACCTTATGCTGACTCTGAAACTACTAATCTTTGCTCCGACACCTTAATACTGGGGAAAGCACGAAAGCCAATTCTTACGTCTTTTAAATAGTTGCCGGAGATTATCCATACTTGAGACAAGATCCCTAAGAACAAGACCACCCACTAGGTTCAATACCAAGGAAAGACACAGCCATAATGACATATATCAAGCATACAGTTATCTTATTAAGGTACATTAACTGTATATCGCCATCTTGGATTGTAAAATAGCAGTTCACAATAGGTCTAGTTCTTTGCTTAAATCTACAAATGTTGAGGCAGATAGGCAATTAATGGGTTATAAATAAGATGTGGTATGAGTGCCAATGAGACAACTATCCATCCAAGTCACAACGGGTAAAAAGTAAACAATTATAGGTCAAAGTACAGCCTTCAACATGAAGCCTTGCCTCACACCGAACAGCAAGCTATAAAGACTAGTGTAAAACAATTCAAACAGGAAAACCAACAGTCTAATCTATATAAAACAAGAATGTGTCCATAGTACACGGATGCCCCACTCGCACTATCATTTTCTATGTTCAGTGGACCGTGAAATTGGGGTCAAAACTCTAATTTGGCATTAAAATTAGAAAGATCATATCATAGGGAACGTATACTAAGTTTCAAGTTGATTGGACTTCAACTTCATCAAAAACTACCTTGACCAAAAACTTTAACCTGAAGCGGGACAGTATCATTTTCTATGTTCAGTGGACCGTGAAATTGGTGTCAAAACTCTAATTTGGCATTAAAATTAGAATGATCATATCATAGGGAACATGTGTACTAAGTTTCAAGTTGATTGGACTTCAACTTCATCAAAAACTACCTTGACCAAAAACTTTAACCTGAAGCGGGACAGACAGACGAACAGACGGAGGGACAGACGAATGGACGGACGGACGAACGAATGGACACACAGACCAAAAAACATAATGCCCTTCTACTATGGTAGGTGGGGCATAAAAAGAGAAATGAGAAACACTTTTGAACCACACCAACGAACAATAAAATGCTCCACTGGGGCGCAGCTTGATACGACCGCAGAGGTCAAACCCTGAACAGTTGGGGCAAGTATGGACACAACATTCAAGCTTGATACAGCACTGAATTTGGATTGTAATTAAATATTTGACACAGCATAGGTTTCTCACACAGAATGAAAGTGGTCTAAGAACTTAAAATTTTTTAATTTACCTATTCAAACCATATCATTATTATTTGCTTTTATATATAAATCAGAAATAACCAATTTAAAATGGAAAATTTTAAAGAAAATAAAGGAAAAAAAAATCCCCCCCAATTTTTTGAACCCCCTTATGATTCATCACCCCCAAACTCAATCCCAGCTTTCCCTTTGTGGTATGGTACCTTGCAGTACAATTTCAGAGAGATCCATACACTTGAACACAAGTTATTGTCTGGAAACTAGAAAAATGCTTGTTTTTTGGCTCCTTTTTGGCCCCAAATTCCTAAACGTTTAGGGCAATTACCCCCAAACTCAAACCCAGCTTTCCCTTTGTGATATGGAACCTTGCAGTACAATTTCATAAAGATCCATACACTTACACACAAGTTATTGTCCTGAAACTAGAAAAATGCCTGCTTTTTTGCCCTTTTATGGCCCCTAATTACTAAAATTTTGAGGGAATTACCCCCAAAATCAATCCCAGCCTTCCCTTTGTGGTAAGGTACCTTGCAGTACAATTTCAGAGAGATCCATACATTTGAACACAAGTTATTGTCTGGAAACTAGAAAAATGCTTATTTTTGTCCCCTTTTTGTCCCCTTATTCCTAAACTTTTTGGGCAATTACCCCCAAACTCAATTCCAGCTTTCCCTTTGTGATATGGAACCTTGTAGTACAATTTCATAAAGATCCATACACTTACACACAAGTTATTGTCATAAACTAGAAAAATGCATGTTTTTTGCCCCTTTTGGCCCCTAATTCCTAAAATTTGGAGGCAATTACCCCCAAAATCAATCCCAGCATTCCCTTTGTGATATGGAACCTTGTGATACAATGTCAGAGAGATCCATACACTTACACACAAGTTATTGTCATGAAACTAGAAAAATGCTTGTTTTTTGCCCCTTTTTTGTCCCTAATTCCTAAAATTTGGAGGCAATTATCCCCAAAATCAATCCCAGCATTCCCTTTGTGATATGGAACCTTGTGGTACAATGTCAGAGAGATCCATACACTTACACACAAGTTATGTCTGGAAGTTACAAAAATGCTTATTTTCGAAAACTAATGTGTCTTCAGACGACGATGACGACGACGCCAACGTCATACCAATATACGACCACAAAAATTTTTTTGCGCTCGTATAACAACCACTGAACAACAGGCTCCTGACTTAGAACAGGTGCTTTTAATTGGAATGAAGAAAAGTGATTTATTGCATTAATCAGACTGATTTATCAAATACCAAATATTTGAGTTTGTTCGAATCAAATTGACAACTTAACCATTTAAGGGGAGATAACTCAAATAGTAAAATTTTTATTAAGTAATGATATAGAAATTTTCAATTTTCAATTTTTACAAGAAAACAAGGTTGTTGACAAGATTTTTTTTTTTTACAGCATATTTTAAACCTATCTTCTCATATTTTGTTTTAAAATTCTATCTCATAGATTTCTTTTTATTCACAAAAAAGTGTTTTTTTATGAACAATCTATACCAATTTGGGCAGCTTTGCACGACTTATAGCTTGAAAAATAGCACGATGACCCATACTTTCAATTATATTTTTGAAAAAAGTGTGGAAAAATCTACACTTTGGCAAAGTATAAGAAAATTATATCTGAGGAAATATATACCAATGATCTACCTTAAACACTGAATGCAAATAAATTTTATTGGACACAAACCAGCATGAAGAAAGAGAAAAAATATTAGTCCAATAAAAAATCAGAAGTTGAAATAGAATAGACAACACTATGGCCAAATGAAAACTATGAAAAGAAAAGAAAAAATAAAAGAAGAATGTGTCTGTGGACACGATTCCCCCTGCTCAAACTTTGCAATTTTCCAAGTTAAAAAAGGGCATAACTCTAGAATGGTAAATGACTTACTGCCCAAATTCGAACTCTAACTGCTAGTTCTTGTTCTTAGCATTGTTTCATAAAATTTGGATGAGGAAAACTTAAGTTAGAGTGCGGAAACGAAAATGGGATGGACGGACGGATGTTAGGACAGATGGAAGGTCAAGGGTAACACTTAATACCCCCATTGCCTACAGCAGGGACATAAAGCCGCCCCAAAAACACTACACAGAAAATTTAAGAGAGCAACAAAAACCTCACCAAAAACCAGGGTGAACTCATCAAAACAACTAACAGTTGAAACTATAAACTATAAATTACATTGTCTCATACAATTGTAAAGATCGTCTTCCTGTGTCTCAAACTTCTAATTTTACAAATATATAACATATCTATTAAACAGTTGCATTAAAATGCGGATAACAGTGTTCTCGTGGAAGAGGCCCCTCACATAAGTGGCAATAAACTCAACTTGGATGAAGAGAGAAAAAAAAGAAGCTGTTACTAGATTTAAATTTGCCCTTTCGAAAGCTTTACAGGAATATCATCTATCCCAATATCCTGTTTTTCCAATTGCTGCACTGTCATTTCCATAATAGACATCATGAGGTTTTCAGAACAGTCAATTCAGTTAAATTTTCTATACAACTGTGTTGGAAAACTTCATGTCTCTTTTCAAAATCTTTACTTTCCCTATGAACTCACCAGATGAAGATGGTGGTAAAGGACCATAACTAAATGGTTCCTCTGGCACTTTGGGCGAAAGTCTATCTTGTAAGGTTTCAAAAACAACTGGACCTCCTGGTAAATATTCTGGACCATCTGAGGTTTCTTTGGGTTTAATTTCCATATCTGAAAAATATTATTACTACTAAAACTTCTTGTCTTATCGTGTAGAACTTAAAAATAGGAATGCATTCTCAACAATAAAATTTGCATGCTTTGTCCACTCAATAAAACAGAATATTTTAAAGGGAAGTATTTTTCTAATCTTTTTGTGAATATTCATAGCAATTTCTGTTGAATTACAAAAATTTAACAGAAATGAATATGATTATCACATTTTTGATAATAAAAATTATGTAATTAAATTTTCGGAATAAATAGATATGTAAACTTAACAGGGAGCTAACAAGTAAATAAGATTGCCCTAACACTTTTAAAAGTAGGGGAAAACTATGTACAATGTATAATCTCATTTTGATATAGTAACAGATCATGCTTGACATTGACCTTTTTATGATACCAGCTCACTGAAGAAGAATCTACAGCAAGCAAAATAGTTTAACCCTGCCACATTCTGTATTTGCCTGTCCCAAGTCAAAAGCCTGTAATTCAGTGGTTGTTGTTTGTTGTTGTATATCATATCTATTTTTCATTTATTATTTTATACATTAATCAGGCAGATAGTTTTCTAGTTTGAATTGTTTTACATTTTTCATTTCGGGGCCTTTTATAGCAGACTATGTGGTATGGGTTTTGCTCATTGTCGAAGGCCGTACGGTGACCTATAGTTGTTAATTTCTATGTCACTTGGTCTCTTGTGGAGAGTTGTCTCATTGGCAATCATACCACATCTTCTTATTTTTATAATGTAACCTCACTCAAGATAATCATTTCAAATTTTTCAAAATAAAATATACTTTTAGCTTCAATATTACTGAAAACAGTGTTTTCGATGATAATATTTTATACCCTGTTTTGAGATTATAGAAGTTTTAAGAGTCTCATCTGGTGTTTTATCTTCTAACTCCTCATTCTCAGAATCCTCAGAATCTGTGTTTCCAAATATAGCAGAAAATAAATCCAATGATGGTTTCCCTTCATCTGTTTTCTAAAAAACAAACAAATAAGTTTAATTTCTGTAAATTTATTTACATATTTACTTTATACAAAGAATTACAATAAAATTTCACAGAGTAGTAATGCTTTACAAAATAAAGTTTCAGAGTAAACATTTTCTTAACTATTTACCGGTATGTCAAAATTATCTCCCCTGTATAAATCTAAAATTTTGACCATATGATCATATATATAACAACATAATGATTGTGTGTTAGTGTTGTTTGTTATTACTTTTATTACGGTTATACAATTTATAAAATACTACAGAATAGAAGGAGACATCACAAGCATATATATATTAAAACTTGACTACCCCAAAGGTCAGTGTTTATAACACCCCTTAAGTGCTCTTTCCCTACATATATCCTAAATAACTTTTTTTTTAATGTTTAAAACCTACATTAATTGGTCTTAAGTTTAAGCTGCATATTTAGAAGAACACTATTAAAGTTTTATATACAAACCCTCCTAGTTTACATATTTTAATGTTTTTTTGGGGAAAAAGGGGGTGGGTGAGGTGTGTACAGTGAAGCTAGTTAGTCTATCCCATACTATTTGTTTTATTTACATAATAAAAGTTTTCTACTGACAATAAGTACCTCTCCTTCAGCAACGGCCTGTTTTTCATCATTTCCCTGATCTGGTTTGTCAATTTGAGCATCTTTGTGTAAACCTTCAAATTTGTCTTTTGTTTCTTCCACAAGATGACTAAAGATAGATTTAGGCTTTTCCGATGTCCTTTCATTTTTACTTGCTGGTTGTGTTTGCTGCTTTGGTTTTTCTGGCGCAGAAAGATGACTAAATATAGATACAGGCTTCGAAAAAATTGATTTGTCCTGTGAATTGGAAGTTTTATCTTGTGAGCTTGCAGATTCTATTTTATCATTTATAGATGATGAAGATGTCTGATTATCATTATCTCTGCTACCTTTAAAATGAGAAAATGAGTAAATATAACCTGCAGCAATCATACCATCTATATATTTATATATTGACAAGAAATTTTTTTAATTTATTTAAGTATTTAAATGATTGATTGATTGTTGGCTGCTTAAAGTCCAGTGGCAAATATTTCATGCATGTTCAGGAGAAAACAAATTAACAATAAATACAATAGGAAGGTCCTGAAATAGACGCCATCAAGGATTAAGGTCGGGAAAGTTTGGTGTATTTGAAGAATATTTCATACAAATTAATGAGGACTTAAGCATAACCCCAGTTACAAAATATATCATTGAATATTTTTAAGAACCAGTAACCCAATTGAAGAAAAATGGTCCCCATTTAAGATTTTCTGATTATTGATCACATTCAACATTTTGACTAGTGGAAACCATTACACAAATTTGAAGAGTATCTGATAAAAAATGAATTCATATGGGATATTTTTAGGAGTCCCTTTGTTCAGTACTGAACTCATTTGAGGTATTGTTGGGTTGATACCTTCATACAAATTTAATCGGAATAGATAATGAAGAGGCTATACTGGCCAGAACTAAGTGACGATGGATAGATAGGTCAACAAGCATTCTGAAAGTATTGCATGGCAATACATAGTCCCCTACCGGTTAAAAATTCCATGCACTGGAACAAAATGCTAACTTGATCTATAACTTGTCATGGTGTAAACAATATAACAAAAATCAAGTCAATATCTTCAAGCATGACGAAAAAAAGTGTGGAAAACTGATTATTAAGTGAATTTTCTAAGTCCAAGGACCATAGCTCTGCACAAAATCATCAGACCGGAACAAAATTCTAACTCGATCTGTAACTTGTCATGATTAAACTATATACCAATTATCAAATCAATATCTTCAAGCATGACAAAAAAAGTGCAGAAAACAGATTATTTGAGTGAATTTTCTAAGTCCAAGGACCATAACTCTGCACAAAATTATCAGACCGGAACAAAATTGGAACTTGTTCTGTAACTTGTCATTATTAAACAATACACCAAATATCAAATCAATATCTTCAAGCACGAAGAAAAAAAGTGTGGAAAACTGATTTGCCAGACTGACAGATGGACAGATGGACGAAGTGCAAACCTAAAGTCCCCTTCGACTTCGTCAGTAGGAGACTAAAAACATAATACCCTCATCCACGTCGTTGTGTTGGATGGAAAGGCCAAAAACATTATACATACCACAACTTCACTGTGTTGGTAGGACAGGTTAAAACCATTATACCTACTGCAACTTCATTGTGTGGGGTATTAGAAATTTAGAACTTAGACAAATGTGAAAGAAGTCAAAATCTCATGAAAAAAAATCCAATTAAAATCATCAAAATCAAAGCTATCTGCTATATTTCTCAGAGATAGATACATTTCCAGCAAACTTGAATTGCTTTTCTAAAAATACAAAAGTACAATGGTATACCATAATATAATACTTCTGTTAGATTGAGAAAAAAAATCCACTTTTTTCACTTACCAGAGTTTTCAGGTTCACTCATTTCATCTGGCTGGAATGTAAGGAAGTTGAACACAGAGAATTTATCTTTCTTTACTGTAGGTAAACCAACTATACCAGACCTGAACAAATGTTACAATCAATAAGGCAATTAATTTTATTACAACATTTTTTTAAATAATTGGTTACTCAGAGAAAAAAATCTATCTATTTTGGTTTAAACCCTTAAACCACCTATAATTGAAAACTGAATATCTAAACAATTTAGAAGAAAGAGGAGAGTTATAGACTTATAAAAACGGCTTGAAATTGAAATGGATGGATTTGAATGCAACACCATACCAAAATATTAATGGTCTATCATAAGTAGTTTTTCATTCACACATTTAAATAGAAAAGTTAACAGTTGAAACTGTATACATTGTAAAATCCAGTAGCATGATTCAAGTAGTGGAGCCTCATACTCTGCATAAAACTGGGATGCATGGATGATAAATCATGAGTCAATCTTTACAAACATAACAAAATTAAATAAAAGAACAGAGTTCAAATGTCCCCTGCATTGAACATATTTTATCTATCCAGGGGCAATAACTAAAAAAAAAACACTTTTTTTTGTTGTTCTTTAATACAATTTATAAATAAAAAGTGTGCGCAGGGAAAAAAAAGTTTTTTTTATTGTATACTAAATATTTCAAACAGACCTTCAAGGGCATTACTTATAGTATACTATAAGTTTTAGAAAAAATTGTACTCGTGAGAGAGCTAATGAGGCCATTTTCCATAAATTTAATATTTCCAAGTGGCATAACTCTTTTAAAAAAAATTCGATCGTCCACCATTATAGAACTTGTCAGAGATATTGCTGATATTAACCTATTGTATAAGTTTTAAAAAAATCTGGCAAGAATTGTACCTGTGAGTGTACTAAAGAGGCCATTTTCCATAAATTTAATATTTCCAAGTGGCATAACTCTTTTAAACAAGAGTGCACACACTGAAATGTCTCGCCTGTTTTACTGACCATTGATTTTATGTTGAAAGTCTTAAAGATAAAGGTTTCACTACAAGTATCATATAAACTTAACATTCTTAAAGATCCATGACAATGAGGTCAAGGTCAGATAAAAGCTGTCACACAGACATGTACACCTTCCAATTATTCCATACACCAAATATAGTTGACCAATTACTTATGGTAACAAGAAATGATTGTAACAGGATGCTGTTATGAAGTCTCCCAAACGAAGCTCCCATAATTCGTAATTCCCAGGGTCGCCTGACATTGGGCAACGTCCAGTGAAAATTGGTTTGGTCCAGTAAGTTTATATGCATTAGTGATGCCTGGGTACTAACCTTGTATATCATTCAAATCATCTTGGCATGACAAACCAGAATATATATGGTTTAGGGGTGGGGATCTCAACCATTTACAAGATACTAGAACATTGGGGGTGGGGAGGAACCCCTGGGGACTGGCCCTATACGTCATTCAAATGTTCATTACATGACGAACAGGAATATATATGGTTTAGGGGTGGGGATCTCAAACATTTACAAGATATTAGAACATTGGGGGTGGGGGGAACCCCTGGGCGACTGACCGTATACGTCATTCAAATGTTCGATACATGACAAATAGGAATATATATGGTTTAGGGGTGGGGATCTCAACCATTTACAAGATATTAGAACTTTCTCAAATAGCAGGGGGTCGGGATGACCCATGGGGACTAACCCTGTTTATCATTCAAACCATCTTCGCATGACAAACCAGAATATATATGGTTTAAGGGTGGGGATCTTGACCACTTAGAAGATATTAGAACTTTCTTAAATGGCAGGGGGTGGGGGTGACCCATGGGGACTAACCCTGTATTTCATTTGATATCCTTTTTATTGCAAACCAGAATATATATGGTTTAGGGGTGGGGAATTCGACCATTTACAAGATATTAGAACTTTCTCAAATGGCAGGGGGTAGGGATGACCCCTGGGGACTAACCCTGTTTATCATTCAAACCATCTTAGCATGACAAACCAGAATATATATGGTTTAGGGGTGGGGATCTTGACCACTTACAAGATATTAGAACTTTCTTAAATGGCAGGGGGTGGGGGTGACCCCTGAGGACTAACACTGTATTTCATTTGATGTGCTTTATCATGACAAACCAGAATATATATGGTTTAGGGGTGGGGATCTCGACCATTTACAAGATATTAGAACTTTCTCAAATGGCAGGGGGTAGGGATGACCCCTTGGGACTAACCCTGTATATCATTCAAACCATCTTAGCATGACAAACCAGAATATATATGGTTTAGGGGTGGGGATCTTGACCATTTACAAGATATTAGAACTTTCTTAAATGGCAGGGGGTGGGGGTGACCCTGGGGACTAACCCTGTATTTCATTTGATGTGCTTTATCATGACAAACCAGAATATATATGGTTTAGGGGTGGGGATCTCGACCATTCACAAGATATTAGAACTTTCTCAAATGGCAGGGGGTCGGGATGACCCCTGGGGGACTAATCCTGTTTATCATTCAAACCATCTTAGCATGAAAAACCAGAATATATATGGTTTAGGGGTGGGGATCTTGACCACTAACAAGATATTAGAACTTTCTCAAATGGCAGGGGGTCCGGATGACCCCTGGGGACTAATCCTGTATATCATTCAAACCATCTTAGCATAACAAACCAAAATATATATGGTTTAGGGGTGGGGATCTTGACCACTTACAAGGTATTAAAACTTTCTTAAATGGCAGGGGGTGGGGGTGACCCCTGGGGACTAACCCTGTATTTCATTTAATGGGCTTTATCATTTAGAACATTTTCAATTAAAAAGATTGTGTCTATCACAAACGGTTTTCAATTTATAATCATTTGAAAATTTTTAAAAATAAAATCCCATAGGGTTCTATAGTAAAACCCTCTTTTCTTTTTGCCCCTCAAAGTACCCCTTTATTAACCACATTGCACAAACAAAACCCTGATTGCACCACTAGGCATGTTAGTCTAACATATTGTGAAACCCTAAGTTAATCTGACAAGCGGATTTGGAGAACGGGTGCGGACAAGTTCAAATTTAAAAGCGGCGGAAGAAGAAGAAGAAGAAGAAGAAGAAGAAGAAGAAGGAGAAGAAGATTAATAAGAACTGAGCAAAAACAATAAGTCTTCCCAAATTTCGTTTGGGAGACTTAATAAAAAAACAAACCAAAACACAAAAAATTAACATTGACCAATGAACCATGAAAATGAGTCAAGGTCAGATGACACCAGCTAGACAGACCTGTACACCTTACAATCATTCCATACACCAAATATAGTTGACCTATTGATTACAGTACTTGAAAAACAGACCAAACACAAAAAATTAACAATGACCAATGAATCATGAAAATGAGGTCAAGGTCAGATGACACCAGCTAGACAGACATGTACACCTTACAATCTTTCCATACACCAAATAAAGTTGACCTATTGGTTACAGTACTTGAAAAACAGACCAAACACAAAAACTTAACAATGACCAATGAACCATGAAAATGAGGTCAAGGTCAGATGTCACCAGCTAGACAGACATGTACACCTTACAATCATTCCATACACCAAATAAAGTTGACCTATTGCTTACAGTATTTGAAAAACAGACCAAAACACAAAAAAATAACAATGACCAATGAACCATGAAAATGAGGTCAAGGTCAGATGAAACCTGCCAGTCTTGTACCCCTTACACTCATTCCATACATCACATATAGTTGACCTGCTGCTTGTAGTATCTGAGAAACGGACCTAATCACGTAACTTTAACCTTAATCACTGATCCATAAATTGAGGTCGAGGTCAGGTTAACCCTGTCTGATGGACATGTAGACCTTGCAAGGAACTCATATACTAAATATAGTTATCCTATTACTCATAATAAGTGAGAAATTCACATAACAAAAAAACTGTAATTTTTTTTCAAGCAGTCACTGAACCATGAAAATGAGGTCAAGGACAATAGGCATATGACAGACGTAAACTTAGTAACATAAGGTATCTGTATACAAGGTATGAAGCATCCAGGTCTTCTTCCTTCTGAAATATAAAGCTTTATACAAATAGTATATGTCGCCGCCGCCGGATAGTAATACCTATGTCTGGCATACTGCGACCAAAGCGAGACAAAAATTGTATACTAAATATTTCAAACAGACCTTCAAGGGCATTACTTATAGTATACTATAAGTTTAAAAAAAAAATTGTACCTGTGAGAGCGCTTACGAGGCCATTTTCCATAAATTTAATATTTCCAAGGGTCATAACTCTTTAAAAAAAAGTCAATTGTCCACCAATATAGAACTTGTCCGAGTTTTATAAAAATCTGGCAAGAGATGTACCTGTGAGAGCTAACAAGACGGACGGATGCCCGGTATTTCCATGTCCCCCGTAACGCGTTACGCTGGGGACAATAATCTGTTACATCAGTGTCATTGCCAGAGAAGCAAAATTAATATCATGACAAATTAAACAATGTATTCTTCTGTTTGTAAAAATATTTCAGTAGAATATTTACCCTGGGTAAGGATCAGGCACATTAAATTTTCGACACAACAGTTTATGTGGATACCATTTATATTCATCCCTCGTCAATCTACCATACATCTTCATTTCTGCAGCTTTAACTCTATCATCCTTGTCCCCCTTAAGTTAGAAATTCTTTTGTTTAACAATCTGAAATGTTCTTTGTAACATGTTAATTGCAAGTTTTTACAGTAAAATATTCCTAAGTATCAATTCATGCAAGATAATTATTTCAGTGGCACATAAAGCATCTATAATTTTGTCCTTTTTTCACACTACAGTAAATATTTAGTAACATTCCAATCATTTTCTAATCAGTAAGCAGGTATGGAATATCTTATTTTGTTTAAAATATATGCTTTTCTATTAACAACTTTTCTTTTCAATAGGTTTTTTCAGATTTATCATCAATTCTTAAGTCACAGTTTTTGATTTTATATGGCAATATACTTACATGTTTCGAACTGAGAAAGTGTAGAGCGGCAGATTTATGAAATAGTATAATAAAGAAAATGCATAGTCTTTTCAATCAGAATTGTTACTACCAGCATTATAAAAGAATAATGGTAAAATATTTTTCTGTAAGACTACATTTTTTATTTATTAAACTGAATATCAAATTTTACCGATGTTGTTTTAAATGTTTGTTCATAGTTTTCAGTATTAGTGAATACTATCAAATTTACCCCTTCTTCTGCAGGAACATCTACGGTTTCAACAGTATCATCAAACTTTGCCCTTGTAAACCTGGATGCTATCATCCCTGCTAAAGGTTTGTACATCTTTGCTGCCTTTATAAATTCTTCTTTCTCTCTTTCTCTTTCCCATTCTGTCATATGCCCTTCTGTTACTTCATTATAAGCATCTGTGGTTATAATTAAAATATGGATACTGAAATTGGATGTTTAATTAGTAGCCAGGTTTTTATGGTTAAGCCAGTTTGGGCATTTGACCGTAATTAATGGTTTTTTTAAGTACAGTGAATCTCTATTTAAATTTTTAAATTCCATTCCATGAAAATTAACAGAAGATAAGTGAGCAAGACCCAACATTGTGTTTTTTAATAAAAAAAAAAAAGGCATTTGTTTGTTCAGAAATGTAATTTTCTTTGATTTTTAAAGATTGGCTAGTTTACATGCTAAGAATCAAGTACCAATAATTGTTGAACAGTATTTTTTTTATAAAAAAATTCACTCTGAATACTGTAAATTCAGAAATTATTGCAATGTTTTTATTAATGCAAATAATGCGGTTGATTGCTTATCGCAATAATAAGTACTCGCATTCTGATATCTGATACATATATCTGTATGAAGACTTTCCTAAAATTGCAATAATTAATCTCGCATTTTAGTCCATTTTTTTAAAATTGCAATAATAAATGCACGCAATAATTTCTAAATTTACAGTATTATTTTTTTTGTAGCTGCATTATATTTCATTTAGAAATGCTGTTTTGATTTATCTTATGAGGACATATATTACCTTTCATTCCCTGTTTCACAAGTACCAGATATTTCTCATATCTAGCTTGTTTTCTTTCATCTTTGATAAATGGTTTAAAGGATAAACTTCCTCCTGGGAACACTGGTGCACTGGTTTTAGGTTGATCAGTTCCTGGTTGTTCCTGTTGTGACTGTTCAGTAATACCTGTATGGACTGGAACCAACTGTAGTTCTGTAGAGGAACTCACTGATGATGCTTTAAATGATTGCTGACCACCAGGAATGGATATCAGGTTTTTGTCTGAAGGCTGTACAACAGAAAGTTCAGTTCCCTTCCTAGCTCTTTCCATTTTGTCTTTATCCTTAGATGAAACCAAATCAAAAACAGATCCTGCAAAGTATCACATGGTATATTTATCTTTAGATGAAACCAAATCAAAAACAGATCCTGCAAAGTATCACATGGTAAAGACAACTCTATCTAAATCAATATCAACATACATATGGAGCTATATTTCCTATCTAGATTTAAGAGCATGTAAATGATTTATTTTCTATTTCAGCAAGCTAATAAAATGCTTCGCTGAGTGCAGCCTGGTACGACCGTAGAGGTCGATCCCTGAACAGTTGGGGCAAATTTGGACACAATATTCAAGCTTGACACTGTCTGAATTTGGATTGTGATCAAATTTTTGACATAATATAGGTTTCTGACACAAAATAAATGTGGTCAAAGATCTTTTAAATCCATTGCACAATACTGTGCAATTGAAGATTTCTTCTTGAAACTTTTCAAAAATTTTGAAATTTAAAAAATTTTGAAAAAAAAAAAATGAATTCCTTAAAAAAATTGGGAAAAAAATCCCCCCCCCCCCCCCAACTTCTTGTAACCCCCCTTGGAGCAATAACCTCAAAACTCAATCCCAGCCTTTCCTTTGTAGTATGGAACCTTGTAGTACAATTTCAGAGAGATCCATACACTTACACACAAGTTATTGTCTGGAAACTAGAAAAATGCTTGTTTTTGGCCCTTTTTTGGCCCCTAATTCCTGCATGTTTGGGGTAATTAACCCAAAACTCAATCCCAGTCTTCCCTTTGTTATATAGAACCTTGTGGTACAATGTCAGAGAGATCCATACACTTACACACAAGTTATTGTCTGGAAACTAGAAAAATGCTTGTTTTTGGCCCCTTTCTGGCCCTTAATTCCTAAACTGTTGACCCCATAACCCCTAAAATATATCCCAACCTTCTACTTGTGGTATTAAACATTGTGGTACAATTTCAGAGCAATCGAAATACTTATACACAAGTTATTATCCTGAAACTAGAAAAATGCTTGTTTTGGGCCCCTTTTTGGGCCCCTAATTCCTAAACGGTTGGGACCATCATCCCCAAATTAATCCCAACCTTCCTTTTGTGGTATTGAACCTTCTTCAAAAATTTCATAGAGATCCATTCACTTAAACTAAAGTTATTGTCAGGAAACCAATGTGTCTTCGGACAACGACGCAGACAACGACGACATCATACCATTATACGATCCCAAAATTTTTTTTGCGGTCGTATAAAAATGATTTGAAACAGATTATCTTAATAACTAGTATCTTGAATGCTAAGGATTACTAGCATACAATCCATATTCAAGACAAAAAAGTAAATCTGCCCTGCATTTATTGCATTAACATACTTTTTTCACAAAAAAATTTCTTAGTATAAAATATGAATATCTTTAATCAAAAATTCGTAAGGGTTCCGCGGAAACCAGTGTCTCACCTACTTTTGCTGTTAATCACAGGCTCAACAAAAATGAGGAAAAAAATTAATAAAAATATTCCTCTCTATACTATCTTTTGATTGTAAGTAGCTTCTGTCCAAGTTTGGTAAAAATCCAGGATAGTTTATGAATCTAATAAATGTTTTAAAATAAAAACTGCAGATTGTTATGTAATGTTAACTGGAAGAAAAACTAAGTCCATTTATAAGTAAAATACGGAAAAAATGGAACAAAATTTTAACAAAATTTCCTTTTAGATACTAGCTTTTAATCATAAACAAGCTTCTGTCCAAGTTTGGTACAAATCCAGGATAGTTTAAGAAAGTTGTTAAAATTTTAAAAACTTTAACCACAGAGTGAATGTAATGTTAACTGGCAGAAAAACTAAGTCCATTTATAAGTAAAATACGAAAAAAATGGAATTTTTTTTTACAAAATTTACTTCTGGATACTATCTTATGATCACAAACAAGCTTCTTTCCAAGTTTGGTACAAATCCAGGATAGTTTAAGAAAGTTATTAAAATTTCAAAAACTTTAACCACAGAGTGAATGTAATGTTTCCTGGCAGAAAAACTAAGTCCATTTATAAGTAAAATACGGAAAAAATGGAATTTTTTTTTTACAAAATTTACTTTGAATATTATCTTATGATCATAAACAAGCTTCTGTCCAAGTTTGGTAGAAATCCAGGATAGTTTAAGAAAGTTATTAAAATTTCAAAAACTTTAACCACAGAGTGAATATTTGTGGACGCCGCCGACGACAACAACGACGACACCGACGGAATGTAGGATCGCTATGTCTCGCTTTTTCGACAAAAGACGAAGGCTCGACAAAAATAAAATTTGATGTCAGCTTTTGAAATTAACTCTCTAGTAGATTATGTTTCAAGTTCACATGTTTTATGTGATATTTTTTTAAACACAGCTCGATCATCTATTATACATGTAAATAATACACGAAAATTTTGTATCTTTTCAACTGATTGCAATTTACAAGCATATTTATCTTCTGTGGATTCATTATTATTCATGTCACATGCATGTGGTACCAATTTTCGTTCATTTCGTGGGTAAAGGGAAAACACAAATTTAAATGTTCAACAGAGTATAAATTTTCTATATGCTTGAAAGGTGTAATACCACCATTGATTTTCCCCTATTAGTCTTTGTTAAATTTGCACTTTTCAAAAAATTGTGCAGAATTTATCTTTGTTTCAAATAAAGAAATACTTGGCATGAGTAAAGTTTTATCCTGTCCAGTACTATAGAAAAAATTTCACATAACATTTCATTGCATATAAGAAAATAACCATCACTGGAAGTTAACCAATCAAATTTTCCCCCTTTTTTAACCTGTGTACAAGCTTTAGTAACCATGTAACCTCAAGTTTCCAAAATATTCTATAGAAACCCCAAATAAAGAAATAATGGTGCTTTGAAATACCCAAGATATATGTTTATGACTCAGAAATGTTTTACTGCAATGAAATGTAGGATCAATTACCTACAACTGTCAAATTCAAGGGAATATTTTTTTTCGACCTATTTTCGTATGCAACCGGATGTGACGTACTATGATTTGGTGGTATTACACCTGAAAACAAACTTTTGAAAAACCACAAAATCAAACATCAACGAGACTACAATTTTTCATCAATCTACAAAAATTGGTTCCCATGTAAATGAATGAATCTGCTTAATACTTACGAACTTCCCCTAATGCAATGCTTCTGGTTATGGACGTCTGCTCCTTCTGTTTCATAATACTTTCAGGTTCTGTATCTGTGGTCTTCTGGAAAACATGGATAGGTCTGAAGTGTCTGGGTAATTCAGGAGGAGGAAAAGATTTTCTTTGATGAAGAGGTTTATCTGTCAACTTAAATCCCTCTAGAACTTTCCCAATATAACCAATTGCTAAATGCTTAGAATCTGTAATAGAACAGAAACATGACATCTTTTCCATAATTTGTATAAATAATGCTCTCACTCTCAAACAATTTTAAGAAAAGAATTGTATAAAACATTCAAATACACTTAAATAAACATATCCATTTTTGTCAGGTCAAGTGGAACTTAATTGTTCAAAAGAATTAAGATAACGGGTAAAAATAATGTGCAATTAATCAGAATTTAATCTATTCATGAAAATTAAATCTCTTTCCATTATTTTTAATCATAATAATTTTTTTGGTCTAAACAAAATAAATCACAACTTAGAACTTACCATGTTTGTGTTTTGGAGCCGTCCATCCATGTAAATTTGATGTGTCCTCTATCTCCATGGTCATATCGTAATTAGACATGTGATCCTTAGTATATATATCATCATCTTCATCCTCTAAAGCTCCGACACCAAATGCCTACAAATATATAATTAACATGTAATCTTTAACATTGAAGTCTTTTCTTCACTTATGGTTGTGACATGTTATCTATTTCCCTCACAAAAAGCTATTTTTTGTATTACGCTAAATGGAGTGCCATATGAATAAATAAGTGATACCACAAATGGGTTAGTTTGGTTGGCCTATCCTGCAATGCGACATGTAATTGGGACATTTCCATTGGCTGTTTGTTAAGTCATTGATAGATGAATGGCAAAGGTCACAACATACTTGTTATCCTACACAAGTCGAAGGGACCGGACAAAAATGATCGACTTATCCGAGGTCGGGCGTGTTGTCATAAATTTGGAATGCATGAAAAATGGAATGAGATTTGTGTAAACTAGATACTTTGAACAGCGTGCCTTTTTTCGATATGACACTTTATGAATTCAGATACAAATTATGCACAAATAAAATCAATAGTATACACAAATATTTACAAAGGTCAGTCACTATAAATTATGAAATCACTCGCGGAACGAAACAAGTTCTAAACAGTCTCTGATGAGGTTGTCTGCTTTACATTAAATTATTATAAATCTTTTTGTCTTAACTTTATTAATTGTAATTAATGAATTTTAATCATAACGATACATTTCATCTTGGCTTGGATCATTCAAATTCGTTTCGTTTTTATATCAGGTGAAATATGTTCAAAACACTAACGTTCCGCTTGGACGATCAACAAAGGTGTTAATAACTGGTCACCAAAAACATGTCATCTTAACTGTTATACAAACGAGTATGTTTACTCAGCTTTAATCTCTTTTGAAAATGATAAGATTACATAAGAAATACACCCAATTTGAATTTTTATCATTTGGTCTGCATCTTTTGAAAATTCTTACTTTCGAATTTCGAGACATGGGGGTCAATTTTCATTAGTTATTCATCGACGGGACTATACAATTTACTCGACTTAACCGAATTCAACTCATCAGAGGTAATTATGCATTGATCAAACGGGGATTTTACCGGGACCTAGAAATTACTTCGACTCATCCGAGTTTTCGACACAACCGAGTTCGACACAACGAGGTCCAACTGTAACAACAATACATAATTTTGACTTACATTTGTGAATGGAAAATATTTAGTGCATGCAAGTACCAAATAATTCATGCACTCTATATATGCAGGACCAAAAATTTGAAAGCAGACCAACATATTTTGTTTTATTCACCGAAACAAACATGTACATACAAATCACTTGTTTATAATGTTACAATCTTTGACCTATCATCAGGGTTTTAATTTTACAAATATCTACTTACAGATGGGGATTTCGGGTACAAAAATAGAAATTATACAAAAATTAAATGCTTTGAGAGTTAAGTATGCACTAAATAATTAATTGTTTTAAACCACTATAAATTGGATAGGCCTTTGGTATTTACATATTATTCACAGTTTTCTGTGTACTCTTGACGAACAAGGGGGGTATTTTTCTGACCCATTTACCTATTAAAACAATATTTTATTGAATAGTATGGTAATTACTGTCTTGATTATGGCATCATGGATTCTAAACTACTTGTTTTTAGTTTTGTATTACTTCGACTTTAAAATGCACATTTATATCAATCTAAAAATTAAATTTCAGTAAAAAATTAGGTCAAATAAGATCCTTATCAGTATCCACATATGTGCATATACTTTCTCATATTCATACCTGACCCCTGATTCCTTTTCGACCAGTTTTTGTAACTGCTGGTGGTTCAAACAGATTGACATGACTTCCAGGTAGTGCTGACCTTGGGTTAAGACCGCTGTATCCTAAACCATGGACATTGTCCTTAGCAACAAATGATATTGGAGTCACATCTTTAGGACCAAATTCTGCTTCTTCATCAGAATCCTGTTAATAAAGTAAATAAGTACAATACCAGACATACAAGGTTGTGATATTTATAGAATAACTCATCCAAGAAATCACATATAGAATAATATTCCAAGATTGACAAAACAACACATTATTTCATGGATGCATGTCACACAATTCACAGTGTTATTTTGTAAAAAGTTGAATACTTTTCGATATTACAACTCTTGGATTAATAATTCATTTTATTTCATTAACCATGGACTCTTTAATGGAAATAAAGTAGAAAATGCAAAGAAATTAACCTTATTCGATGCACTCCCAATTTATTTTGATGCAACGTCATATTATTTATAGAATAACTAATCAAAGAATTCAAATATCGAAAAATATTCAACGAGTGACCGAACAACACATTAATTCATGAATGCGTGTAGCGCATGAGTTTATTATCAGTGTTGTTCGGTCACAAGTTGAATATTTTTCGATATTTGAATTCTTTGATTAGTTATTCTTTTTATTACATTGGCAAATGGCTTTTTTATGAAATTAAAGTAGAAAATGTAAGGAACTATATCTTTTTCTACGCATTCACAATTTGTTTTGATCTGATGCTATCGATGTCTTGACAACGCCTATTGTTGTAAGACGTCAGAGGAGTGAAATAACCATGTTTATTTCACATGTGAAATTATTGGTTTTTATTTCACTGGGAAATCAATTTAATTCATTGCAACCAATGTAATAACAGTATTTATTTTACTAAAATTCACAGTATTTCATTGCAATCAATGCACTTATATATGTTCTTTGTCTTAACTAAAGGGGAATAACTCTTGAACAGTATATCTCAAAATTATATCTAACTTGATCTGTGTTTTATGATCCATGACATGGTGGTACTTAAATTATCATCTGGAAATTTTAAAAAATCTAACTTTATGGTAAGAAGGGGCATAACTCCTTGCTGTGTAATATTTCACTTAAATATCCAACAATGTGGGAAATTCATAACAGTTGTTACAATTTGCCTTTTTTGAGTGAATGTTTTTGAAAAAAACAATTTTTTTTAACTTACCCTTTCTTCTGCCTGAGATGGCAAGGAACATCCATAGATTTTTCGCTCTGGTTCTAAAAAGATATAAATATGTATTTATATATTAAAGTTGTGAAAATTCATTTTATTTTGTTGTAATGTTGAATAAAAGTCAATGCAAAGCTAAAGTATACTAAATCTGTACACAAACTGTTTTGAAAAACAATTAATCTGCAAACAGGAGAAGCTTAAATATGTATGTATAGTCTAGGTTTATATGTATCCTTGTTTAAAACATATATGCAGGGAATGGTTGCAAATGTATTCACATTATTTAAGTTAAAAATGATGTTTTTGCTTTTCTAGCTCTAATGTAGATGTAATAAATTATGTTCTGATTGATATTATAGTCTTAGATGCATGACTTTTTTATTAGTTGTTATTGGCTTTGAACTAGCTGTCAGTAACTGTGAGTTCTCTCAAATCTGTACTTAGTGTCTCTTTGTTGTGGGGATGTATAATTACCCATCCATGTCCACTCTGTGTTTTTGTTTTATGTATTTCTATTTGTATCCATCTGATGAGTTTGTTCTTATGTTGTACTGTTACACCACTGTCCCAGGTTAGGGGAGGGTTGGCACCTTCAAACTAGTTTAACCCTGCCACATTCTATATGTGCCTGTCCCAAGTCAGGAGCCTGTACTTGAGTGGTGGTTGTTGTTTGTTGTTGTTTATCATATTTTTTTTGTTTATTGTTTTTTATAGTGTGTTCTTGTGTTGTGTGTCTGTCCCAAGTCAGGAGCTTGTAATTCAGTGGTTGTCGTTTGTTGCTATGTAACATATTTGTTTTTCGTTCATTATTTTGTACATAAATTAGGCTGTTTGTTTTCGCGTTTGAATGGTTTTACATTTGTCATTTTGGGGCCTTTTATAGCTGACTATGTGGTATGGGCTTTGCTCATTGTTGAAGGCCGTACAGTGACCTATAGTTGTTAATTTCTGTGTCAATTGGTCTCTTGTGGAGAGTTATTTCATTGGCAATCATTCCACATCTTACTTTTTATATATATCTTATACCCCCACATTTCTTTTTATTCATACACATTAATTTTGGATCAAAACAACCAAGTAAAATATGACTGGATATTAAAAAGAATTACAAGACATTTAAGTACTGTTTGACTACCTTTTTCTTGTTTCTTCCTACTGCCGATTCCATGTCCTTGTTTCCATCCCAGCTTCTTTAAAAGCTTTATTCCTACACTTAGTCTGTAATATACAGGAAAAGTCATTAGGAAAATAGTCATCAAACTATTTGAATTACCCATTGTGAAAAAGTTGCAAAATTGATATAGTAATACATCCATCCAGTAGTCAAAATTTCCATCTCTTACACCTTTTAGAAAAGGTTTCAAGAATTCAAGTTATATCAAATCTTTATATAACTAAAAACAATGGCAAGATGGACTATTAAAAAGTTAAGAACTACAGATTGCACAAAATGATGAAATACCATCTTAGGCCTTTTGCAAAGATAAGCTAAAATAATGCACAAATTTATAATGTGATAATTTTAACATGCTTGCCATTATATTTTTGCACTGAAGTGGCCAAATCATATCATTGAATTTAGGTCACAGTAAATCAATATAAATATATTTTTTTATTGCATCTCTCCTTTCAGAGGGAAGAATACCTATCTTTGATGAATAGATTAATGCATCTTATTATTCTTTGAGAAAATAATTGTATAGACATTTCTGATCGTGAAATAAATTTGAGAAAATAATTGTATACACATTTCTGATCGTGAAATAACTTTGAGAAAATAATTGTATACACATTTCTGATCGTGAAATAACTTTGAGAAAATAATTGTATAGACATTTCTGATCGTGAAATAACTTTGAGAAAATAATTGTATAGACATTTCTGATCGTTAAATAACTTTGAGAAAATAATTGTATAGACATTTCTGATCGTGAAATAACTTTGAGAAAATAATTGTATACACATTTCTGATCGTGAAATAACTTTGAGAAAATAATTGTATACACATTTCTGATCGTGAAATAACTTTGAGAAAATAATTGTATACACATTTCTGATCGTGAAATAACTTTGAGAAAATAATTGCATACACATTTCTGATAGTGAAATAACTTTGAGAAAATAATTGTATAGACATTTCTGATCATGAAATAGCTTTGAGAAAATAATTGTATAGACATTTCTGATCATGAAATAGCTTTGAGAAAATAATTGTATAGACATTTCTGATCATGAAATAGCTTTGAGAAAATAATTGTATAGACATTTCTGATCATGAAATAACTTTGAGAAAATAATTGTATAGACATTTCTGATCGTGAAATAACTTTGAGAAAATAATTGTATAGACATTTCTGATCATGAAATAACTTTGAGAAAATAATTGTATACACATTTCTGATCATGAAATTGCTTTGAGAAAATAATTGTATACACATTTCTGATCATGAAATTGCTTTGAGAAAATAATTGTTTACACATTTCTGATCGTTAAATAACTTTGAGAAAATAATTGTATACACATTTCTGATTGTGAAATAGCTTTGAGAAAATAATTGTATAGACATTTCTGATCATGAAATAGCTTTGAGAAAATAATTGTATAGACATTTCTGATCATGAAATAGCTTTGAGAAAATAATTGTATAGACATTTCTGATTATGAAATAACTTTGAGAAAATAATTCTATAGACATTTCTGATCATGAAATAGCTTTGAGAAAATAATTGTATACACATTTCTGATCGTGAAATAACTTTGAGAAAATAATTGTCTTGATATTTCTGGTCATGAAATAACTTTGAGAAAATAAATTGTCTAGACATTTCTGGTCATGAAATAACTTTAAGAAAATAGTTTTTCTAGACATTTCTGATCATGAAATAATTTTGAGAAAATAATTTTCTAGACATTTCTGATCATGAAATAACTTTGAGAAAGTAATTTTCAAGACATTTCTGACCATGAAATAATTTTGAGAAGAGATACTCTATTTATACTGAATATTTTATGTTGAGCATCTTACTTTTCAGGTAGAATATAATCTGTTAAAGCTGATGTCCCTTCAAATACAGTTCCTGTCATTAAGGCCTGTCCTTCATCATAACGTCTCTTTCTTCTTTCTTCTGTAGAAAATTTCTCTGATGTAACCAGTTTTCTTGGAGCTATCCCATGTTCATTGAAATCCTATAACAAGTATTAAATTAATAAATAATATAATCCTCTGAATTTTACAATTCTAATTATTAATAAACATTAACATTTCAATTTTTTGTGATATAAATTTTTTTTTAAATTAGAACAAACATGACAAAAGGGCATAAAAATATTTGTTTTCTTTGGAACAGGTGTCTGATGTTTTAAACATGTATTATGAATCTGCAACCATCTAAATATTAAAAATAATAATGCCATTTCAAATTTTTAATAAATGTGGATTGTGTCCACATGTGGACACAGATGATGCCCCCGATTGCATATCATATAGTTATAAAGGGACATAACCGAAGAACGGTAAAAGTGACGCTACCCAAATTTAATCTTGATCTGAGTTTTGTGGTAATAAGCATTGTGTATAAGTTTTATAACATTTGGTTGAGACAAACTAAAGTTAGAGAACAGAAATGAAAAATTCAGCAATTTTTATGTTTATAAAGGAGCATAACTCAAGAATGGTAAAAGTGACGCCACCGAATTTCGTACTTAATCTGTATTATGTAGTAATAAGCATTATGTATAAGTTTCATAACATTTGGCTGAGGCAAACTAAAGTTAGAGAACAGAAACAAAAAAATTGTAGTTGATCTTAGTTTTGTGGTAATGAGTATTGTGTATAGGTTTTATAATGTTGGAAATTAAAAATTTTGCAATATTTCGATTTATAAAGGGGCATAACTCAATAATGGTTAAAGTGACACTACCCAGATTCAACTTGATCTGTGTTTTATCAGTGGAAGGCAAAATTAAACATTGCATTGTATAAAGCATTGATTGTAGTTGATTCAAGTATAATCATGGACAAAGGAAGATAACTCCAATTTTAATAAAATGTTCCGCTGGGCGCAGCTTGATACGACTGCAGTGGTTGAACCCTGAACAGTTGGGGCAAGTATGGACACAACATTCAAGCTTGAAACAGCTCTGAATTTGGATTGTGATTAAATATTTGACACAGCATAGGTTTCTGACACGGTATGAATGTGGTCTAAGAACTTAAAAAATTTTAATTTACCTATTCAAACCATATCATTATTATTTGCTTTTATATATAAATCAGAAATAACCAATTTAAAATGGAAAATTTTAAAGAAAAAAAAAGGAAAAAAAAATCCTCCCACCCCAATTTTTTGAACCCCCTTATGATTCATCAACCCCAAACTCAATCCCAGCCTTCCCTTTGTGGTATGGTACCTTGCAGTACAATTTCAGAGCGATCCATACACTTGAACACAAGTTATTGTCTCGAAACTAGAAAGATGCTTGTTTTTTGGCCCTTTTTTGGCCCCAAATTCCTAAACGTTTAGGGCAATTACCCCCAAACTCAATTCCAGCTTTCCCTTTGTGATATGGAACCTTGTGGTACAATTTCAGAAAGATCCATACGCTTACACACAAGTTATTGTCATGAAACTAGAAAAATACTTGTTTTTTGCCCCTTTTTTGGCCCCTAATTCCTAAAATTTTGAGGCAATTACCCCCAAAATCAATCCCAGCATTCCCTTTGTGATATGGATCCTTGTGGTACAATGTCAGAGAGATCCATACACTAACACACAAGATATGTCTGGAAGTTACAAAAATGCTTATTTTTGGCCCCTTTTTGTCCCCTAATTCCTTAACTGTTGGTACCAAAACCCCCAAAGTCAATCCCAACCTTCCTTTTGTGGTATTGAACCTTATGGTAAAATTTCATAGAGATCCATTCACTTAAACTAAAGTTAGAGTGTGAAAACCAATGTGTCTTCATACGATGACGACGCCAACGTCATACCAATATACGACCGCAAAATTTTTTTGCGGTCGTATAAAAATTACTTGAATAATGACATTGATATTTTTAGAAAAAAAATGAGAAATTTAGCAATTTTTCCATTTGTAAAGGGCCATAACTCTAGAAAACTCAAACTGACGCCACCAAAATTCAAACTTGATCTGTGTTTTGTGGTAATAAGCATTGTGTATAAGTTTGATAACATTTGGTTGAGGCAAACTTTAGTTAAAGAACGGAAACCAATTTTGGGACCTACGGACAAGGGTAAAACTTATTATTTCTTATGCAGCAAAAATCCTGCAATCTGATTGGTTAATTACCCCGGTGTAAATAACACCCAACCCTTGTTCCCCTCGGGATAAATAAAATTTTGCCAAAGCCAAAAATTCCGTAAAATAAAATTTTGCCAAAATAAAGAAATAAAGAATTAAATGTAAAAAAAAAAAATTAAAAAAAAAAATTAAAAAAAAAATTTGAGGACAAAAATTTTCTTTAGCATTTTTCAATTTTACATCCCTTTTTAAAAATGAGAAAAGGAATTGTTCATAAGAAATAAATTTGTTATCTTGGTGTAATCAGGGGTGTACGGAATTTTGCACCGGTGTAAAATTCTGTACACCCCTGATTACACCAAGTTAACTAAGAATGCCCCCTCCGCTTCAGCGGGGGCATACAAACTGAAGACAGAGGTCCACTTTTTGAGGCAGGATTGACCATAAAACCCTAAATGCTTTGCCTCTACATATTTTGAATACATTTTCATCAATATTTTCCCAAAATACATCTTAAATCATTTTTGAGTTTAAGTGAAAAACATTTGGGCAGTTGTTTCCCTCCTAATTAATATGTGAAAAATTTGTCATTTAATATTAATAAAAAAACGAATGTGGAAAATATTGGAAGCTTGCTTTTTTATAATTCCTTCTTATCAGTCTACTGAAACAGCTAGCAGCTGCAACCTCAGTACCCTTATTACACTATATGTAGTACTTCAGGTCTAGTTACATTGATAACTGGATGTAATCTTTATGAATTAGAAGCTATTCCTAAAGCATCCAGTTGTGGCAGTCTTATTTGAATCATTATATCTTTGAAGCACTTTAAAAAATAGACACATATCATAAATAATTTGAAATTTGAAAGCATTCGTTGAATTTCCAGGTTTTATATGTACCTCATTCACAATAATTGAACATTTACCTCATCATCCATAAAATCTTCAGGTTTTTGTTGCATGGATTCATACTTTTTATCTCTGCTAGATACAAATTCTGAGGGTGCAAAACCTTTCAAAATAAAAAATAATGTTTCATTTCAAATCACTTAAAAGCGGACTACAATATAAATGGGGAAAAAATTATGTTTTTGAAAATTTAAATAGAGATACAAAGCAAAATAATAACAAAGTCAATAAAGTATAAAGAGTAGCTCAAGTACTTTTATATGAATTATTACCTATTAATAAAGTATAACAATTTTTACATGTCCTACATCATACAGTGCCAAGATATAAAGTCACTTAGAACAAAAGTCAGTGAAGAATTTAAAGTAGGTAAAACTACTTATAAGTAATAATGGATGTTGACCTCAATAAAATGCATGCATATCCACAATAACTTATATGGGAACATCTAACAGTACCCTGTTACATTCTACATTTACAGCATACAAGATATTAATTTCTCTAGAAAAATATTCTAATTTTACAAAGACATCGGAAGTTTTAAAAGTATCTAATACAGGTCTTGTTGGTCTTCTTTTGATATGGGGACACAATATTGTTAAAAGACATACTATGACTCATGATGAAAGATCATATTTCTGTTTAGTTTTGTGACTTAAGTTTTGCAGAGTAAAATGGACACATAAGGTACCATACTAAGTCCCCCTCAACATCATTTAGGAAAACTAAAAAATTCATGCAAGTATGGTGATTTATATTTTTTTTAACTTGAATTAATATATAACATTATTCCAACTGATTTACCTTCATAACGTAAATATATAATCATGAAATTAGTAAATATCAAAATATTTTTATTTACCTTGAATTTGTTCAAAATGTAATGAGTAAAAGAACCCAATACAATAATTACACAAAAAAATTTCGAAATGATCAGGTCTGGTACAGTGTAAGGAACAGTACCAGTTTCAAATAAAATCTTTGAAATGTCTAATGATCATCATCACCAACTCTTTGGAACTTATTGCTGTTTCCAAATCACATGCCAACAAGCTTAGTACCTTATCTAAAATTTCTAGAATTGATTTTACCATCTTTAGATCCAACAGAGTTAAAATATCCCGCAGAAAATCCTCCAGTAAATGCTCCATGGAATCTCTGTCTGCCTTTATTATCTTTTACTGTCAAGTCTCCAACAAAAACTGGCTTCTTCAAAGGTGCATCTGGAATATAGTGATTTTTGTTTATCATCTATGTAAATAATATCAATCTATTAAAGGTTTTTTAAATCTAAATTTCACCAAAAACAGTTTTTCATACTAGTATGTTAAGCATGTTCTAAAATAAATAATGCCCTTTCCTTGCTTTTGTGTCTGATAATAGCATTTCCACACCCCAGTTTGGTTTATTTATTTTTTAAATTTCATATTAGGTTAATACCATTTTTTTTCCATGTTTGTTTACCTTTTTTTTCATCAAGGTTTTTACCTCACACTTGCACTGTGCAATTGACAACAAAAGATGCCATGGTTAGGGTCAATGCATACGGAAATGCTGTCTGCAAATAAGAGTACGAGAAGACAATAATCCAATAGCAGTACATTTCTGAAGCTTTTGATAAAATAAAAGGATTTTCTTTTATCATGTTTATAAGAAAGTCTAGCTATGTACATGTTTTTTATGTAGCCAAATTGGCATTCGTAGGCTACGCGTACCCACTTCTGGTTTTATAATAAAATGTCAGCGGATCGGGAATGAAAAATGAAATATACAGGTAATTTTATCGCAATTAGAGAATAAATTGATTACTACTCAGAAGTTTTATAAATATTTATATAGTAAGTGAACATTTTTTCTCAGTTAATTAATAAGTCTTAAAATGGAAGAATGTGATATATATGTGGGGAAGACATTTAAAAATTATAATGAATTGGAACAATTTGTTCAAAATTACCAATCAAATAACTACATAGAATTGTATAAAAGAAACTCTGAATCAATTGCGACTTTAGAGACAAGTAGATATTTTATAATTTTGGTTTCTGTTTTGCATTTTACTGGAAAATTATTTTCACACTCAAGTTTTCACATAGTTTTTTTGAAATTCAGTATAATTTTATCTTTCAATGTGCATTTACATTTAATTTCTAATTTTTATCATGTTTTCTTTTACAGGGACTATACAGTTTTATTCCTTTAGTGTGCATCTAATTTGCAATCTTTATTATGTATTTTTAACTAATAAATCCAAATTAAAAATATTAGTTACCATTCTCTTCACTGAATTCACAAAATCCACAAATTACCGATAATTTCCATGTATATTTCACATTCCATTCCCGAACCGATGACATTTCATTATAAAACCGGATAAACATATCCTACCAAGGCCAATTTTGCTACTTGTCCCCGCATGCTGGGTCTGGCAGACACTGCCTTTTACGTAGTAAAACTTAGCCATTTAAGTATATAAAACATTTTCAACTTTCTTTTATTAAATCTAAAGTACAAATGTATCATACATACATGTATGCCTTTAAATGAATTCACCAATGCAATCTCAAGTTGTTTTTTATGATGTCTCCCCTCCTTTTTTCGGGTCAGCAACCTAACATAAAAGATTGACATGCACTACTTGTCATATTCAAAATTCAAAATCTTTCTGAAATATCGTTTGTTTTGCTTGACTTCAGAAATTGAATTAAGTGCCTGCTAAACTTCAAGGGCATTGGACATGTTGGAGCAAGAGGCAAAACTGAATTAATTGTAGACTATATGACTATAGAAAAGTTTGGTTTTTTTTGCTTTCTACTTTTAAACCCCCTCAAAACACACACATACACAAACACTTTTTCAGTCTCATCCAAATAATGAAGCAGAAAACAGTTACCTACTACAGCGATCCCTACCACATACTATATGGAAATGTCCCCTCCCCAGAGTATAGACCTAGCATGTCATGGCTCAAAAACCTACAACAGTTTTGGCGTTTAGCAAAGTGAGCTTTCTTTCTGGCAAAATACAAAAGAAATATTGCCCAAGGTCAGCAACCGAAAACATGAAGTAATACATCTTGTTTTAGCCATCCACATTTTTTGAAAAATGAACAAACGACGAAACACAATGTTCATTAACAAATTAACTATGCTGATCGAAGTTTCAAGGACAAACTAAGGCATATTTAAACTTAAAAAATTTAAATTATTAAAATGTTGACTACCTGTTTTCTGGTGTTTCTGAAAAGTGATAATTATTAGTGAGTTCTACTTTTAAACTGAAATTTTAATCCAATTCATAACTGAGAATACAATTAAGGTATAACAGTTGTTTCAGTTTATGTCTTCAATATTCATTTATAGTTACTGAATTATATTTTTTCTCTTGTCAGAAACTATTAACTAAATATCTAGTACAAAAAAGAACTTTTTTTATATCAAAAAGGAAAAGAAAGTATCATATAGTAATAAAATTTCAAATAAAAAACTATTCTGTTCATCATGTTTATGAAATTTATTGTTTCCTGGGACTCAATGTATTAGTCCCAGTTGTTTCTTATCAAAAAGATATATATATTTAACAAAGAAAGTTAAGCTAATTTAATCATTAAATTGAAACAATGCATTTACATAGAAATAAATACAGTTAGCAAGGAGATGTAACAAATAGTCTTTTAATGCGTGTGGAATGCATAGTTTTCCCTTTTGGGATCATTATCATTCTGTCAGCTGTGCCATTTGTGCGTCTGTAGTTATCATCATAATCAAAGTGCATGTAAGCACTGAATGGTAAAGATTGCTTTAATTTATTAGCATGATTAGTGGGAAGTAAAATTAAATACTGCATTGTATAAAGCATTGGTTGCAGTTGATTCAACTACAATTCTGAACAAAGGAAGATAACTCCAATTTTAAAGATGACTTTAACAATGACATCATTGATATTTTTAGAACAGATATTACAGTCCTACACCTTGCAAAAGTTATGTAATTTTCTTGACAAGTATAACATCATTTTGTGACTTGAATACCTGAGCATATATTTCATTGATAAATTTCTGGAAATGTTCATGGATAGGATGTATAGAATGTTATGATCAATGCACTATATTTTGTGTATCTCAAAGGTAGTGATAAACCTTGGAAGATTTGGATATCAAGTCAGTACCATAGGGTTTTGATTACATTTCATGCAATCTTTACCCAAATATGTGGATTATGGTCATACATGTAGCTGGTCCGCTTCCGATGAATCCCGCATCCGATCCGTAGTTTGTACAAAAATTTCAATGGCAGTCGAAGAAAAATTAACGAAAATAATCAATGTTTGACAAGCGGTTTGGAATGAATATGACGCTTTAAATGGATTGAAAGGATGAACCATTAACTAAAGGCATTTTTCATCACGTTAGTTTGAAATAACATACAACCAATCTGTAAAGTCAGTGCTTTCACCTCTTTTCTAAAGTAATAAATCGTTTATATCTTTGAATTTCTTTACTTATAAATGAAAAATCGCTGTTTAATCAACATGAAAAAAATTGCGTTGGTCAGCCATTTTGTTAACATCGAGGTACCCCACATAGGTTTTTTCTTATCTTAGGAGACGGTTATGCCATGATGCAAACGTAGATTTCAAATTGTTTATGATTTTCCGATTCCATTTTCTCAATGTCAAAATTTGCAATTGGACCACGTGTTATTAGTCATGTCACAAGTGTCAGCTTGGGATATTCATATCCAAACAGTTATCGCCCAAAGGGCAAGTAACACCTATTCAATCACTCTTAATTGCCTCTATTGTCCACTTGAAGGGATTACAATTAAAGGTGATATAATTTTTACGATCACAAGCGATGATTAGATGAAAGTTCAAAAATTAGGACATCTATTTTGCGGCAATGTATAGAGACAAGAAAAAATAGCATCCTCAAAATAATTATAGAGTCGCGGAAAATTATTATAGCGTCATGGAAAAAATTATAGCGTCGCGTTGCTAAAACGGACTGGGGAGATCAATGACTTATACCTTGATATGATAGTTTAAACTTTTCGGGCAACAAAATGATGTTATATGATCAGAGTACAGACCATGCAGACCCTGCCGTGAACTGAAACGACACACAAAGCCTGATTCTTAACATGCTTTTACACTGGTCTATGATCTTACTCTTGCATTTATATGAAAGTATATACAACAAAATCTCTTTAAAAATAAAATAAAAGTACGGATTGAAACGACTTTTATTACATGGCCGAAACGACCAAGGGCAAGGCCGAACCGGCTACATGGCCGAAACGTCTTGTTTCCCTTTTATCTGACTACTATTCTACATATTCACAGCTGATTAAACTTCGGACAACCTGCAATATAACTGATAAAATATTTTATAGGAAGTATTCTAAGGGGAAACACCTTCATCAATTTGTTCCAATGGATTTCCGAGACAAATAAACGATTCTTCTTCGTCCGAATCCATTTTCTGTTTTTTTTCATGGAGGCTGCCATTAAATCGTTACCGCAGAAAATTATCACAGATAAAATATGTTGAGAATAAAAAGAGTGTTGAGATTATCAGATAAGACTGGGAGTTTGCTATTCAAAGAAATGATGATGTTCAAATGATATTTACTACATATTTTTATATTTTTATCCAATAGAATTAACAAAAATGCGGTCAGGATTTACTCTGTCAGGACTGCGCATGCGAATCAAAAAATGATTTTGGGAATCACCCAGAGATGAACTACCTGCATAAGAATTTTTATTGTTTTGTCACGATTTATGATGTAAGCTATTTAAAAATGGTTCTGCCTATATAGATTAACATGAAGAAGATATCCTTTAAAGGAATGAGACTGTCAAGTCAAGGAGTCGAAAGACAATCAGGTGAAAACAGTGAAACTCCCATCAGTACACTTGTTGCAGCATCAGTTGAAAGTGACAATGTGGCACCATCTGGAACGTTGATTGATGAGCCTTCAATGCGTAAAAAGGAAAAATTTGGACTTTTCAAAAGCTTTAAAAGAAAATTGACGTTAAATTTTAGGCGAAAAACAGATGAAACTGACCACACTCACTCTGAATCTCATTACACTGCTCCTAACATTTGTGATTCAAATTCAAAGAAAAAGAAGGGAAGATGTCGTAAAACAATCTGTGATGCTTCATTAAAGTCTAATTCCTCATCTCATAGTTGTGATAGCTTAGATCTGACAACATCTCCAAACAATTTACACAAGTTTAGTGATTATCATATGAATACAGATTCTAATTCATTATTGACAAAAGATAAAGTTAGTTATCGTAATAAAGACATCTCAAGATTTCAGCAAAGTGATCATATAAAACCTGAAAAACACTCAAAAGAAAAATTGATTACATATCAAGAGGTACAACGAAGTGGGCAAGGAAATTCTGTGTATGCCTCGTCAAACGGACACTGTCTCAACTTGACCAGTTTTGTCTCAGTTGAAAAAAGACTTAATAATTCTCAGGAGCTGCTGTGCCATCCAGAAATTCTTGATGATGAAGGTGGTCCAAAAATCTGGAGTTTAACGCAAGAATTGTTCAGACTTTCAAAATTTGGATGGTATTGGGGTCCCATCACAAGAGTGGAAGCAGAAGATAAACTGTTAAATCAGCCTGATGGTGCTTTTCTTGTTAGAGATAGCTCTGATGAGCGCTATTTGTTAAGTTTAAGTTTCAGATCATATGGTCGAACTTGGCATACAAGAATTGAACATTGTAATGGAATGTTTAGTTTCTATGCACAACCAGACACTGAGGGATATCCCTCTATTGTTGATTTAATTGAACATTCGATGAATGATTCTCAGACTGGAATATTTTGTTATTCTCGTTCAAGATCCCCTGGTGCTCCGTCATTCCCGGTTAGACTGACAAAGCCTGTGTCAAGGTTTACCCAAGTCAGATCGTTGCAATATTTGTGTCGTTTTGTCATTCGTCAATATACTCGTTATGACCATATTCAAGAACTACCACTGCCGAAAAAGATAAAGGGATGGATTGAGGAAAATCAATATTGATATTGAACATTTTCATTTTTGTTTCTTACATTTATACATGTATGAATTGAAGTCAAGAGTAGGTTTAAATGTTATGATTATAGTCATGATAGTAAGGGAAATGAAGAAGAAAATAGGTCTCTTAACCATCACTTTGCATCCAATTGTTTCAACACTATCCATTGCTAGCATCACATGCAACAGCCCATAAAGAATTTTCTTTATATGGTTTCCTGGCACAGTGGGCACATCATACAAATGTACATTTACCACATCTCCTTTTTTTATACATTTTATGAATTATTAAAAAAATATATGTAAATTTATTTTATTATACATCATGGACATTCATATGATGGATATACTTTTTTTGTTAAACAAGCTTGTAAATTGATAAAATTTCTAACATACACTTTTTGTATTAAAAGTGGCAAATTTCAATGAGATTTAAGAAAATTATCCTTCTGATTCAGTAACAAATTGTATATTTTAAGTAACCAAAAAGTGAAGCTTAAATGAGGATCATTTCAAGAACATTCTTCAGATATATGTGTAAAAAAGGGCATTTTGAGACAAATTAAATACACTTGGCCATTTGCCATGTTTACATTTGTAGGTGGGTAGCTTTATTCTTGAAAAATTAATTCCTAATTATTTAATCATGCTTTTTTTCCTCATAATTCAAATTAACATATAGAATCCACAATATCCTGACTTTTTTCACCTTGCTTTCAACAAACAAAAACTCCATGTTTTAATTTTCCGTTTAAATTGTAAACAAAGTTCTATTTCAGTAATCTATATTTTGAAGGATTACAATTGCAAGAACATTGTCAGAGAAAAGAAACACAAATCCAGCAAAAGGGTAAAGTTTTCATGATTTGATGCACTTGTACATGTACAATTTGTATTCATATAAAAATAGATATAATTCAGATACCTTCTTATAAATCTATCTGAAGTGGGAAGGTCTAATAAATAAAAATGTACCTTCATCCATATGTATCCTTTAAGTATATTAAACTCTTTTTATACGCCCGTTTACGGGACATATTATGGTATACCTCTGTCCGTCTGTCGTCAACATGTCGGACATTAACTCAAAAACGCTTTAACCAATTTGCATAAAACTTTGTTGAATTGTTTATATCTATTGACGTAAGCTCCCTTTCGTTTTTTTAGAAATTTTAGAATATACGTTTCCGAGTTATGGTGTTTAAAAAGGGGGATTTTCCAGTTTTAGGACAATAACTCGAGAATGCTTTCACCAACTTGCAAGAAATTGTGGTGAATTGTTTATATCTATTGACATGAGCTCCATTTCGGTTTTTATATATTTTAGATTTTACATTTCCGAGTTACAGGGTTTTATTCATAAAAAAAGGGGGATTTTCCAGTTTTCAGACAAAAAATCAAAAATGCTTTCAGCAGTTCTTATGAAACTTTGGTGAATTGTTTATATCTATTAATGTAAGCTCCTTTAAGAATTTTATAAATTTTACATTTTACATTTCTGAGTTGTGGGGTTTTATTCATTAAAAAAGGGGGGATTTTCCAGTTTTCAGGCAATAATTCAAAAGTGCTGTCAGCAATTCTCAGGAAACTTTGTTGAATTGTTTATATCTATTGATGTAAGCTCCCTTTACATTTTCATAAATTTCTAATATGACATTGAGAATAAATTGAACTTTAATTGTTTATAGTCTGACAACAGATTAACTAAGTATTGCGCAACGGCACAGTGTATTGCACAACAGCAAGAAATCTTTAATTGAATATAAATTCAATTCATATAACCAATTTCAGTTCTTTGACTACATTTATTCAGAAAACTTTAATATGTCAAATATTTAATACAAACCAAAATTCAGACCGGTATCAAGCTTGAATATTGTGTCCATTTTTGCCCCAACTGTTCAGGGTTGGACCTCTGCGGGCGTATCCAGCTGCGCTCAGCAAAGCAGTTTATTATACATAGACTGTAGCAACACTACATGTATGTATGTCAATTTTGTAAGTCATTATGATTCGCATGTACATTTTTTGTACATGATGTTGAAAGCAGTTATAAACATGATCATGATGATAAAAATTTATGAAATACATTTTTTTTTTTTATTTTTGGCTTAATATTCATGATCTTAATGATACTGAACAGTTTTCATTCATGGAACAAGAAATACAATGAAAAAACATCATGAACATGAACAATTCTTAAACAATATAAATGTATTATAGAACATAAACACTATGCACTTGTAACCATGGTAACATGTTAGGTCAAGAGAAGAATATATTTCTCTCATGTCTCTTGGGTTGGTTTTTTGTATAAATGTTTTTAACTTTTAAACAGAAACCAGTAAACTTTACATGACCTAATAATAGTTGGATGGACATTGTTAAGCTATACCAACATGTACATGTACATGTACTAATACAGTACTCTTCCCAAGAGAAAATCAATAGACATATACCTACTTGTACCACTATTAGTATTACTGCTAACCAACATTTACCCATCAAAGATAAAACCAACAGACAATGACCATATATATTATACATGTATACATGTCAAAACTGTTTGCCAATCAACTCATGAAAGAAACCAACTAGACCAACTAGTTGAGACAGACAATAACATGAATAAAGAACTTGGTCTATACATGTGTAGTTGCTTAAATCCATGTCCTTTGGACTTGGGTGGATAATTGTCTCATTTGCAATGATGCCACACCTCCTTATTTTTATATACACATGTAGGCTAGATCTGCATAAACTGAATTAGTGAGCCTTCCATGACTTGATAGTACATAAGATTCTTTAATGTACTATTTTTTTTCACATATCTACTATACATGGCTTTAAACATGTTAAAACAATGTAACATGTGAAATGTTGAGTCAGAGATGATGTAAATTACCATGTACGATTTAAGATACCTGTCATCTCACAAGTGATACTATGTATACTGTTTACCAAGTGTGTCTTATTTAAGTGCATTATTATATTTTTTTTATGTTAGTAATTTAATGTGTTTTTGGAGTTAAATTTTTTATTTCACTGTAAAAATCTTATATTACCAAAAACATATTTTTTTTATAAATTAAAAAGAAATGACTTTGCACTAAATGTTCTTACATGTAGACATGATGGATAGCTGTGAATTTTTGTTGCCCTTTTCAAAAAATGTATGTTAACATGTGCATATATGCACGAACAATGTATAAATACAAATGTACAGATTCTGTCATTAAAAAAGTTATTATTTCATGATCTTTGATCTGACAGACAATTTTATATTAACAATTATTTGCAAAGAGAATTAATAGAGATTGAACCAATGATTTAAGTTCATGCACTAATTTCTATATTTGTTTTCTTAAAATTGTGTACCACTACCAGTACCTGTTATTGAGATGACACATACATGATATAATTAACAATATCTTACAAAACCACTTAAAACAAGAAAACTTCCTTGTCTTATATTAGTGTAAAAACTTTAAAAAGTTAAGTTTAGAAATAATGTATTCAGTACTAGCATAGCCATATACATTTGTATATGCGCATTGTACACCTGTTATATTTGTATTCAGTAGAATACATTTGCTTATTTATTAAACCAAATTTACTGGATGCATATACCAGTAATCATGGTAACTTATCATGATTTTAAAAAGCATGTAGGTAGTAAAAATGTGTCAATTTAATATTAATTTAGATTTATCATGATCTTGAAGTTTTTCAAATGTTGTTGGCTAAGTATATAAAGGAATTTGAACATTTGGTATTGTGAACCAGCAGTTCAAACTAAAATGTAATAATCTCTACATTTAAAATTTACACTTTTTGATAGTCAAATGGGCATTTCGAGCACCTTTGAGTCTATAGTTTTATATACCGGTACATTGATATCTGACTATGAATTTTGTAAAAGTTTAGAGTCAACTATTCTACAACCTGTGAATTTGTACATACAAATTCTTTTTGTAAACAAAAATCTTGAGAATGTTGAATTTGAAAGTGCATTTATTTATGATCAAAATGTTATTGTTTTTAAATGAACAACCACATTTTAGTGGGAAATATTATGTTTTATGCTTAAGTTTGACATATTGGAACAATATTGTCATATGTGTATGTCATCCATCTTACATGTACATTGTAATTTCCTCGAGAGTGTCATTGGAATGGATTCTAAACGTTTGGTTCTGGACTAAAAAGTCTGAACTACTGATCTGAAAGACTGGTATTAAATGTAAGCTGAAAATGATATGAACAATTCGTTACACACTTCTATATGAATCTCTTACTACATGTACTATGATTTGAAACCTATAAATGTGAAAAGGACTATAAGTAAGTCTATATGAATCTCTTACTATGATTTGGAACATATAAATCAATAAAATGTGAAAAGGACTATAAGCAAGTCTGACATGCAAAACTATAAGGGAAGGATTTGTATTTTCTTTGTGTTATACAATAGATTGTTTTCAATTGGAACATACTTGCTTGTTTATATATAAGTCTTAATTTGGAACCATCAATTTATGATTGATGTCAGTAAATAGTGAAATAAATGTTAATCCATGCATGATTTTTTTTTCATACATGTTCATTATGTATATATATATGTATACATATTTGTTTAAGTTATTCCTAGTATGATCATGATGATGGATCTATGAAATAAATGTACATGTACAATGTACATGTAATTGTTAAAATAGGTTTTTGAAATTAAGTCAGAATAAAATCTGTAGGTAACTTAATACAGTTACATATATTTGTGTACTAGCTTATACATGTGTAACTACTTAATAATAATGAAGACCTGTTAGAAATTTCCTTTTACTTTAAGTCAGTTTTGAAAGTTAGTGCTATCTTTGTATGTTTACGCCATTGTTGAAAAATTGATTTTAAATGACATATATATATCTACATGTATAAATATTCACATAAGTGCTGCTGTTTTTTTATGGAACATTGTAAATGCTAAAAACATTTTGTCTCCCTCTGGTGGAATTGTAGTATCATCATACCTGTTAACCATCAAGAAGTGCTTATAGGGGAGATAACCCAAATCGAACTTTTATGTTTGGAGGTTCTATCTGACAATACCTTTTTAATTCAAATATGTAATTAAACAACATACAATGTACAGTGGAATTATTATGATTTAAGAAAAACACATTCAATGCAATGAGATATAAAAAAAAATCAGTTGAAAAACATATCAATTTGAATTTCATCATTTAATCATAAGTTAACAGTATGAAAAAGAAAATGACTGATCTGTCAATTTGCCTTTAATATTAAAAAGCTTATAAAATTTTCTAAATTCAAAAATTATGCTTATGAGGAAGATTTGGCTGGAGATATTCATATCGATCAAGAGAGATAATAGTTAGGTGGAAATGAGATTCCCTTGAAGGGGCCTCCCCTTAGATGTTGGAGTGTTAACAGGTATGGTAATAAAGCCATTCTTACTTCAGTTTCCTTTCTCAGGAACATTTGCCTGTGC